CATAATTAAGGTGGTTTCACAACTGCACATCCTCCAGGCAGCGCAGGCGTAAACAACACAACGTGTGCCTGGGTGTCTCCCGGAGGCTTGGAGTCAGCTCTGTCTGGTCCCTGCACCTCAGCTGAGACGAGACAGGACCACTGACTGTTCAGCTGGGCCGGTGCGAGTGTGTGCTCAGAGACTTATTTTATTGAAGGATAATTGCTTTACAGACTTTTGCTGTTTTCTCTCACACCTCAACGTGAATCAGCCTCAGGTATGCATACATCCCCTCCCTTTTGAAGCTCCCTCCCCATCCCACCCCTCTAGGCTGATACAGAGCCTCTGTTTGAGTTTCCTGAGCCACACAGCCAGTTCCCGTTGGCTGTCTATTTGACATATGGTGATGTAAGTGCCCGTGTTCCTCTCTGCATACATCCCACCCTCTCCTCCCCTCTCCCCACGTCCGTAAGTCTATTCTCTGTGTCTTGTTTCTCCACTGTTGGCCTGTAAATAAATTCTTCAGTACCGTTTTTCTAGATTCCATATATATGTGTTAGAATATGATATTTATCTTTCTCTTTCTGACTCACTTCACTCTCTATAATAGGTTCTAGGTTCAGCCACCTCATCAGAAACTGACTCAAATGTGTTCTTTTTTGTGGCTGAGTAATATTCCATTGTATGTATGTACCACAACTTCTTTATCCATTCATCTGTCGATGGACATCTAGGTTGCTTCCACGTTGTAGCTATTGTAAACAGTGCTGCAATGAACAGTGGGATACATGTGTCTTTTTCAATTTTGGTTTCCTCAGGGTATATGCCTAGGAGTGGGATTGCTGGGTCATATGGTGGTTTTATTGCTAGTTTTTAAGGAATCTCCCTACTGTCTCCCACAGTGGCTGTACGCTCACTGGCCTATTAACATCACAGGGCCAAACACTCTGCCCTCGGGGGGAGCTGAGCACCTCCGTTTCTGACCGAGTGGAGGCCGGTGCCCGGTTACCCAGTGCACGGTGATGGAACTTCCCCCACACTGCCCGCGCCCTGGAGGCCCTGCGGCTCCGTCCCCCGGGGACCCCAGCCCCTGGCCTTCGGGGAGGCGTGCCCGAGGCTTGCTCTTCATGCTGTCCCATTGCGCGGCTGCCTCGGGAGGAAAGCCTCTCTCTGCTGCCAAACTTGGCTCACTGCGCACCCAGCAGGACGACCTGGTGAGGTCCTCTGTCCCTCGAGCCCCAGGGTCTCACAGTGGCAGGGCTGTGACCCAGGGTGGGCACTGCTAGCCTGCACGCTTGCTGAGTCGCTTCTGTCGTGTCCACCTCTTTGCAACCGCGTGGACTGTAGCCCGCTGGGCCCCTCTGTCCATGGAATTTCCCAGGCAAGAGTACTGGAGTGGGTTGCCATTTCCTCCTTCAGGGGATCTTCCTGACCCAGGGATCAAACTCACGTCTCCTGCATCTCCTGCCAGCCTGGGAGGTCACTGAATCCGAGCTCCCGGAGCTAGAGCTGAGCAGGGGGCTCCTGCCTGGGTTGGGTAGCCTTGGGGGTCTTCTGCCTCTTGAGTGGTCTTGTCCAAGCGTGAAAGGAGGTGGAGGGAACCCTGGTCCTCCTCCCCCGGCTCGGTCCCCGGGAGGACAGAGGACTGGCTCGTGGTAGAGGGCAGTTTCCATCTGCCTGACCCAGTCGCGGGCGCCCCCTGCACCGTTTGTCCCCAGGGTGGCCGTTGCCACAGGCGGAGTCCTTTTCTTCATCTCAGGAAATTTAAAAAATCACCCTGAGAAAGTCACTTTGCTTTAGTAATTTAGTAGAGCAGAGGTTTTAGAATGGCTGCCAATAAGACTGCCATCCCAACAAGCCTGCTTGACTTGGCTGAACCGTGGTTGAAAATCTTTGACTTCTGCTTTAGGTGTGTGTGTTGGGGGGATGGTGGGGGGCGATTATCCAGAGTTAAAAAAATCCTTGTTTGATCAGAGCAGGAGTCGGCACTGGGCTCGGAACCTCAGCTTGCTCCCTGCTTCATGTTTGGAGAAGGGTCGCTAAGCCCACCAGCCCTGGAGGCAGTGGGAGACGCTGGCCGACCTCTGGCAGAACCAGAGCGGTGGGCAGGGGGCGGCATGAGTGGCTGGACCCCAGGGGTGCTGCTGAAACCCTCCAGTGATGGACAGCCCCACCACGAAGAGGTGCTGGGGTGGGGGCGGGGGAGCCCTGGGCCAGGGAGGCACCCAGGGAATCAAGCGTCCGTTCCAGAACCTTCTGTTCAGAAGTTTGTTTGTAAGGGGACGTTGGGTTGTGACTTTATAAAAGGAGAGGGGACGCCCAGGAGCCTTGGCCACTGATCCTGCGACAGGGCACTGTCGGCCAGTGACCACGAGGGCGCCTCCCGCTGCGGTAGGAGCAGCTCAGGGAGCGCCGTCTGGGTGTGGATGTCGCCCCGACGGGGGTGGGAGGCACTGCTTGGGGAAGGCGCAGCGGCCAGCGTGGGCACCAGGCCCTTCGTCCGCCCGGCGAGTCTGGTGCCGGCCTTGATTTGGTTCCATCTGGTCAGAAAGCAACTCCAGCGCCTTGCGTCACTTACCCTTTCACAGAAGACTTTGGACTTTTTATCTAATCTATTATGCAGTGCAGGATTATGCAGAATGCAAGCCACGGGAGAGAAATGCTAATAAGCGCAGAAAAGGAAAGTGGCCCTAGTTCCCACCATCAGCTCTTTGCCAGGTGTGCTGCCCGGGTCTGTCTATAGGCGTGAATGGCCATTCCCACATGTGTGTTCACACAACGGGCACTGCTGAGGCCGGAGGCGCCTCCGCGACAGCGCAGGCAGGGTGACCCGGGGACCGCGGTGCCACTTTCCCTGCACCGTGCCCGTGACTGTTTCTTGGAGCCACACACAGCCAGCAGCAGCAGAGACAAAATGACAGGCTCTGAGCGGGTCATCCCGCCAGCCATGCGTGACTTAGGACCGACCTCTCCCAGGCTCTCGAGGCCCCCTCACTGGAGAGGAGGGTTTTGAAGATGAGGGTGTGACACGGACCTGCAAACGTGAAGCGACACGCAGCAGGCTCCGAGGCCCGGGGGCAGCAGGCGAGCAAGGCGGGAAGGGACCTGCCGTCTGTGCCGGACCCCTCCCTCCTCGCCCCAACCGGGTGGCGTCCACAGCCCCTGCCGGTTTCAGCTGCTGGCCCACGTGTCATCAGGAGGTTCGGGCCGAGCCGAGCAGACGGAGGGGCCGAGGGAGCCGGGTGGGACCGGCCTCTGTCCCAAGCCCGTCACTCACCAAGTCCTGCTTTCTGATTGCCACCCTGCCGGCCACGCTTCCCAGGTGGCTCAGTGATAAAGAATTTGCCTGCCACAGCAGGAGATGTGGGTTCCATCCCTGGGTCGGGAAGATCCCCTGGAGAAGGAAATGGCAGCCCACTGCCACAGTATTCCTGCCTGGGAAATCCCATGGACAGAGGCACCCAATGGGATCCAGTCCTTGGGGTCACAAAGAGCTGGACATAACCTAGCGCCTTAACAATAACAACAACCCCCAGCACAGGCTCACCTAGGACAGCCTCCATCCGGATCCTGGATTCTGGGCTTGTCCTTCCTCGATCAAGCAAGATGTAGATAGTGTGCGTGTGTGTTTTTTTTTTTCCCAGATCCCCATGATCTCTATCCCTTTTAGAGAAAATAGTTCCGTTTGTCACCGCGTCTGTTAATGTGTACAAGCGGTGCACATGTAAAAGATTGTATCCTGCTGACGTGGTGTTGTTTTTCTTCTCACCCAAGCAGCAGATAAAGCTGTGGGTAAGCTGAGTGTAGCAGAAGATGGCGAGAGTCAGCCTGGAATTTTTCCCTGTTGGGGTGTTAGAGCCCCCCACCTCACCCCAGTGAAAGCACCCCAGTCTCAGGCCCTCTGTGAGGCTCCACCCCCAAACGCCCCTGCCCCCCCTTCTCTCCCAGGCAGCCCCTCCCAGCCTCCTCTGGTCTGACCGCTGGCAGGCGTACCCCTCGGGAGCAGGGGGTACGAGAGGGGTCACAGCTTCAGAGAGTCAGAGCCTGGGTGGGAGGCCCTGGGTGGAGGCTCTACTGGGTCGGGTCTGCCCAGCCAGCTTCCAGCTCTTCTGTAAGAGTGTCCCTTTCCTGCCCCACCCCAGCACCTCTAACCCTGGGGACACCTCGCTCTCAGAACTTCGAGGCGTCTGAGCTGGTTCTTGTAACTTGATTTCCTTAGGCCACTAGGCCACAGGTGATGCAAGGTCATCCCAAGTGTCCCAGTGCCGTCGTTTCATTTAGCTCTTGCAGGTGTCCGAGCCAGCCTGGGGCCGCGAGGAGTCACCGTGTGCCTCTGCGTGCAGGTGGACGGGGACCCGCTTCGCCGGTGGGCTTGGGGGACGTAGCCTGTTCTCGCTGGGGGCTTGACCTCCAGACGCCCTGCTTCCAGGTCCTGTCCTTGGCGTGGTCTTTCTGGGCCCCGCGTTGGGTTACAGGCTGTCACCTCGCACTTCCCACAGCTGTGTTTGCGTCCTTACCTGAGGCCCGTGGTGACGACTGGGTCTCCAGTCGAGGGTGTTCCGTGCTGTCCTCTCCCACCCACCCAGGCGCCCCCTTCCTCCTCCTGCGCCCGAGTGGGTGGTTGGACCCCGAGCCTCCTGCCATCCCCAATTGGTGTGGCCCTGACCCACCGCACACTGCGGGGTTGTGGTCTGTCCCGGGCCTCCTTCCTGCTTCATTTCTGAGCAGACTGAACCACAGGTGCTGGGGTGTGAACACCTTTCCCCGGGTTCGGCACGGGAGCTGGCCTCAGAACTCGCAGCCCACTTCAGTCCCTGTGGACGAAACACCCCGACTTCAGATGGCGTGGACTGGGGTCCCAGCCTTATTTAGCGCAGAGGCTTAAGATGACACGGAGCTTGTCCTCTGCCTTCGGGGCACCTGCTGAATTGAACGCAGGGCACCCCAGCGCCGTGGAGCCACTCCCCTGCTGTCCAGGTGAGCCCTGCAGCCCGCTGAGTGAGGACCTGGTGTCTTTACAGATGCCTGCTCTGTGCCTGTCTCCGAGATCATCACCGTTGAGGAGACGGACATTAACGGGAAGCAGTACACCAGCGGAAAATGGCAGAAAATGGAAAAGCCGTACGCGTTCACAGGTGACGTGCTCGAAAGTCCCTCGCAGCTCCAGGCAGCTCACGTGAAAGAGAACTTCCTTGTCATTCGCTTACCGGACTCACTGTGTCCTTGGTTTATCTTTATAGAGAGGTCCTTATGTCATTTTTCCAAGCTCTGGTTTTTTATTTTTTACTGAGGTACAGTTGGTTTACAGCCTTGTGTTCATCTCTGCTGTAGTGCAAAGTGAACCAGTTATGCACATCCAAGCTCTATTTTTAATGTTTTGTTCATCTTTTTTATTTCTTTACATGGGTTAAAAGAACTGAGGGGTAGGATCTCTTCCCTCATAGACGCTGGAGGGGATGAACCAGTCAGGACAGGGGCACATCGGGGGAGCTGGGTGTGGCCTGGGGTCTGCGCGCGGGGCCGCGCCGCACTCACGTGTGTGTTCTCCGCGCAGTGCACCGTGTGCGGAGGGCCCGGCGGCGCCGCTGGAGGTGGGCGCAGGTGACGTTCTGGTGTCCGGAGGAGCGGCTGTATCATCTGTGGCTGCAGACCCTGCGGGAGCTGCTGGAGGCATTGAGTACGTGCCTGCTTTGCGCTCAGCGCAGAGGCGGGCGTGGCGAGACGCTGTGACTGCTGAACACGTTGCTGGTTAGAGGACCGCGCGGGCGGGTGCCCGCAGCCTGGCCCCCGGGTGCCAGTACCTTCACTTACGGACGCCAGGCTGGGGCAGGCCCCTTGGTGTGGGCCTGGGTTTCTTCTCCTGGGAAGTGGGGTGGTGAGACCTGAGCTCAAGGTGGACAGAGGACTAAACCCGGTGCCCGGGGGACGCACCTGTGTCCATGTGGGGGTGTCTCAGCTGTGAATTACTGTTGTGTAATGAGGGTCCGTCTGTCCCACTCAAAACACAGTAGGTGTCAGCTCGTTTTGTACCTGGAACACCCATGTTGTTTGGGTATATATATTTTTTGAATTGAAGAATAGTTGATTTACAGTTTAGTTCAGTTCAGTCACTCAGTCATGTCCGACTCTGCAGCCCCATGAATCGCAGCACGCCAGGCCTCCCTGTCTATCACCAACTCCCGGAGTCCACCCAAACCCATGTCCATTAAGTCGGTGATGCCATCCAACCATCTCATCTTCTGTTGTCCCCTCTTCCCCCTGCCTTCAATCTTTCCAAGCATCAGGGTCCTTTCCAGTGAGTCAGCTCTTTGCATCAGATGGCCAAAGTATTGGAGTTTCAGCCTCAGCATCATTCCTTCCAGTGAACACCCAGGACTGATCTCCTTTAAGATGGACTGGTTGGATCTCCTTGCAGTCCAACGGACTCTCAAGAGTCTTCTCCAAAAAAAAAAAAAAAAAAAGAGTCTTCTCCAACACCACACTTCGAAAGCATTTGATTTACAAACTTGATTTACAATGTTGTGTTAATTTCTGTTGTACAGCTCAGTGACTTAGTTATGTGTGTGTGTTTGTGTGTGTGTGTACGTATATTTTCCTTCAGATTCTTTTCCATTATGGTTTATAACACGATACTGAATATAGTTCCCCTGTTCCATGCAGTAGGAGCTTACTGTTTATCACCCTTTATATGCTATTTTGCTTATCTGTTGTGGGTATAGTCTTAATACACAGTCTCAAAAACTCAGTACAGACATCAACCACCGAAAAGAAAGCATGTGTTTAGGTTGATTTTCTATCATTTAAAATTAATTTGGCATCTAGATCTAAAAAGTGAATTTTAATGTATTAGAAGACAGCATTTCCCATGTAGCAGCTTCAGAGCGGCTTCCTGGCTTGGAAAAAAGCACGTCTTTGGCTTCGCATCTGGGCAGTGGGACTTGGTCTCTGCATTTCACCCTCTAATTCTGCTGGACGGGACGGGTGTCTACTACCTGCCGTCTGACCAGTGCATCCTGACCTTCCCCCGAGTCTCAGACCGCTGGCGCTCGGTCCACTGCTTGTCCAGCTGGACCTCTGGACGAGTCTGAACGCGTCCCCTCACTGCGACTTACACGCTGCTGTTGTTCTGTAGCATCGAGACCGAAGCACCTACTGGTGTTCATCAACCCGCTCGGAGGGAAAGGACAGGGCAAGCGGATCTACGAGAAGAAGGTGGCCCCGCTGTTCACACTGGCCTCCATCACCACCGACATTATCGGTAAGGCATGAGGTCTCTGCGCGGTGTGCAGAAGAAAGATTGGGAATGATCCAAGGAAGGTTTTCGCTGGATGAGACTTTGTGTGTGTGGCCATACCATGCCGCTCATGGGATCTCAGTTCCCTGATCTTAAATCTGGACCCTTGAACGTGGAAGTACAGAGTTTTAACCACTGGACCGCCAGGGAATTCCCTGTCTAAGAGTCTTTTAACAAAATAGAATGTCAGGGGTTTAGCATGCCAGAATGAGAAAAATGCAAAGTAAAGAGTGTAGACTGTTCCAGCCAACAGTTAGCATATAAATCCCTCAAGAAAAACACTACGAGGGAAAAGGACAAAGACCACAGACAGAAAGTTCTTGCAGGAGATGCAAGCAGTTAGTAAGGCTTAGAAATCGTTTCACCGGTGAGTGGCGTTTTAAGAAACACGTGCGATGCCACACTTGTGGCGCTGAGTTTCAGAGCAGGTTCTCGATGCCGGGAGACAGTGCCTCCTGTTCAGAGCCTCAGAGGCTTCGTGTAAACTTATTAAAGGGCCCCTTGGCAGTGCGGGTCAAGAGTCTTCGGGTTTTTTAAACTTTCCAGGGGAAACCATCAGCTGTGCAGAGAGAGAGGTATGCAAACGTCTGTTGCCTCGTTTTTATAAAAGTGAAACACTGGAAACCGCTGATGCCCCAAACAAGAAACATGGATAACATTGTGGTGAATCTGGAGGAATAGTTTGTAGTTCTTTAAAATTGTCTTTACAAGGAAGTTTTAATGATAAAAAGGGGGTTGTGATAAGATGCTAGGGGAGAAAGGATACAAAATCGTGTGCACAAGAGAGTTTTAAAAATTATAGTGAGTAAACAGACTGCGGATTGACATTTTCTACATTTGGCATTCTAAAATTTACAAAGCCCTTTGGCTGCTAAGGGGAAACTATGAAATAGAAGATGTAACCTCTTCCCCCCAAAATTGTTATTGGTTGGCAATTAAGTGCCAATAACGGAACGTCTTACCCGCGGAGTGTATTCTGGGAGGTCGTGCTCCCCGAGGCCAGCTCCATCCCTCTCTGTGAAGGGCATTCGGGGAAGACTAAGGAGGATTCCTTACAGCCAACCCACCCGAGGATTTTACAGGACCTCATTTTAAAGTGGTTTAACCCACCCACTTTAAACAGATTCTCAGACTTCAGTGTAAACGCTACAACCCCATGTTGTTTCTCCCACAGTAACTGAACGTGCCAATCATGCCAAGGAGAGTCTGTATGAGCTCAACATAGACAAGTACGACGGGTGAGTGAGCATCCCCATCCGCTCCTTTCAGTCCGTCCTCACCGGCCCTGTTCCCTCCCTCCCTCCTTCTGGAAGTAAACTTGCTTCCCCTGCAAACTGGGCAAAGCAGGAATGTGCAGAGGACCCTGCATTCCTCTGTTCCTCAGAGGACCGCCGTGGAAGTTTGGTTTCCCTTCTGTCTCACTGCCTCATACAGAAATCTTTTCATTTGAAAGTGATCCCCTCTTGTCCTTAAATATGTGTGTGTATGCCCTAAAATTGAGGATGTCCTTCAGAGCTAAGATGCGGGCATCACTGCCCAGGAGATGGGCCCTGACACAGACGCCATCACCCGTGTGCTGTCCTGACCTGGTTCTGCCCGCGCCCCGTTAGTTCCCTAAAGCAGAAGAGCCCCGGGGCAGGCGTGGCCTTCAGACGCAGGGGTGCCGGGCTGGTCCCTGTGTCCCACAGCAGGAGGGGCCAGCCCCGGCCAGAGTCTGCGTCTCTGCTGTCCCTGTCCGCTGGTCAGCTCCTGCAGACTGGCCTCCTCTGCCTCGGGCACAGCTGTCCCCATGCCGGCACAACTCTGGCACGTGGCCAGGGCCTGGTGGATGAGCAGAGAGCAGGGAAAGGTGCTGAGGAGACGGGAAGCTCACACACTGCGCCCCTATAGGCGCAGGAATGTTGGTTGAGACCCACGTGGCGAATAGCACGGAGATGGGATTGGACCTGGGAGGCCGCCAGGGCTTATAGGTCCCGGGCAGGAGCGGCTGGACGCTGGCAGAGGACACAGGACAGGGGGATGCTCTCCAGGATGTCTAGGGGAGAATCAGCTAGTCCCCATGACCGGATCCTCACCAAGCATCACCCAGCAGTGAGATGGGCTGACGCAGGTTTCGAAGTCCATGCAGCCAACCGGGGAGGGTGGGGGGAGCGAGTTAGTTGAGCTGAGGGCCCGGCCAGTCTGGTCACAGGAAGGCTCAGGGCCTGGGCGGCCAGCGTCTGTCCGACACTGGTCCCTGTCTCTCCAGCTGTGTGACCAGGGCCGCCGGCACCATCTCTGCTGGTGCTTGGCGTCCTGAGTGTCACTGATCCGGGTCCCAGGGCCCCGAGAAAGCTCTTGGGTCCCCAGTGGGTGACTGTGGCCCTGGGGACGTCAGGCCGCTTGAGGGTCAGCAGGTCCAGGGTCACACGGCGGGAGTGGGCCGTGGTGGGGGAGGGCCCGGGAGGGAGCCGTGTGTCACCTGCCAGAGGGTCCGAGCTCCTGGGGGCCTTGGTCAGGGGCTGGCAGGGGAAGAGGGTCCTGTGTCAGTCTTGCCTCCTTACCTTTCAGCTGCCGGGCTGGAGGGCAGGGGCGTCCTCTGAGGCCTGGTTCCAGCCCCACCTTCACTTGGTCCCCCAGGCCAGACCCTTCCCGGCCTCTCAGAGCCCAGCCTGTGGCTCCAGCGGGTCCGAAGGCTCCCCTCCTTAGACACAGGGGGTCTAACGCCATCTGGTGTGGGAGCAGGAGCAAAGTGGGTGGGTAGGGACCGGCTGGCCCAGCAGCACAGGCAGGCGGGAAGGCCCTGCCTGGATCCTGGGGGAGCTGGGAGCCAGCATCGGGTTTTGAGTCCGCTCCGTGTTCCGCCGGCAGCATCGTGTGCGTGGGCGGAGACGGCATGTTCAGCGAGGTCCTGCACGGCTTGGTGGGCAGGACGCAGAGGGACGCCGGTGTGGACCAGAACCAGCCCCGGGCCACGCTGGTACCCAGCCCGCTGCGCATCGGCATCATCCCCGCGGGTAAGCCGCCAGATGTCGGGCTCTGTCCACTGGGGGTGGGGTGGGCGGGGTCTGTCCACTGGGCGGGGCCGGACGTTGGGGTCTGTTCACTGGGGGGTCGGTGGGCGGGGCCTGTCCACTGGGTGGAGTCGGGCGGAGGGTGGGGGGTCTAGTCTACTGGGGCTGGGTGGGCGGTATCTGTCCATGTGGGGGGGGGGCGGGGTCTGTCCACGCTCGGGGCGGGGGCGGGGGACTGTGGGCAGGATCTGTCCACAGGTGGGGATGGGTGGGGAGGTCTGTCCACTGGGCAGGGTCGGGTGGAGGGTGGGGAGGGTCTGTCTACTAGGGGTGGCGTGGATGGGGTCTGTTCACTCGGTAGGGGCCAGGCGTCCAGGTCTGTCCACTGGGGGGGCCCGGGTGTCCCGGTCTGTCCACTGGGCAGGGCGGGTGCCGGGTCTCGCCCCTGGGCATGCAGGCCAGTCGCCGGGTGTGTCCTGGCTGCAGGCCGGGCGGGTTGCCCGTGTTTGCCTTCAGGCTCACTCCATTTCAGGTGTGCCCTTCTCCCCACGCACCTGACGCGGGGCCACGGCTGCGTGCGGGAAGGGGTGCTGCCTCCTCCCTGGGCCCCACGTTCCCACCAGGTGGTGGCTGTGGTCTGTGCTCTCAGACAGCTGGCCGTTGGTGGGGGGTGGGCAGTGGGGGGCCTGGAGCACAGTGGAGAAGGGGAGCCCGGGGAGCAGGCGGCAGCCTGGAAGAAGCGCCTGGTGACTGGAGCCGGGGGCTGGGTGTCAGGGCAGGGGGCCTTGGGCTGTAAGGTGGCTGGCTTGTCCCGAGTTGGCTGCCTCAGCGTGTTTCATGACTGGAGAAAGCACCTCGTTCTTTCGAAGAACCCACTGTAGTAAGGGGATAGGGGTGAGGCCGGGGCTTTGCGTACATCTAACCGGGAGGGGACGCCCTCCCGGACCTTGTCTGGGCCGCAGCGGCAGGGACCCTGGTGGGTCAGGCTCGGATGTGAATGGTGCTGTCACCTCGTCTTCTAGCTGAAGATGCTGGGGAGGTTGCACAGTCAGTCTGCACAGTTGCACAGAGGGTACGTTTGTATGTTATGAGTTTGTTACCAGCCACAAGCCATCAGTTTGCTTAGATTAACTATTAACACCTAAAGAGCCTTCACCCTGATCTCAAACTGGACCAGATTCCATTGCTCTGAGAGATGACCAAGGCCGCTTGCGATCCAGCGTGTCTGTTCAGAACCATGGACCTGCAGCTCCATCCCACGTGCCTTAGGCTGAGGGATGTGTAAAATGTTCTGGGGTCTGTGGACACAGCGTCTGGACCCTGCCTGTGGCCGGAGCTCGCGTGCCTGTTAGCACGGTGACTGATGGGCCTCGGCTGGTGCTGGTCACGTGTTGTGCAATATTTATTGTGCAATTCTGGGCACTGTCAGTTTACTTTGGGGAAGTCTAGACTAGGTTTTTTCAGCTGTTCCACAGACATGTTAAATTTCAGATTCAGCCCCATCCCCAGCCTACTGAGTCAGGATCTTGGGGGTGGGGCAGGGCGCAGGAGTCTGCTATAAATAAGCACCTGGGAGATTATCTGCCCACTCAGGTGGTGACCTAATTAGAACCAGGACAGACCTAGGGAGGACCTGTAGCATCACTGATCCAGGCGCTAGCTGGGTGCTCTGAGGTCACTTGCCCTTCACAGACGACCCGGGACTGGGCTGGGCTGGGGCTCCGGGTCTCTCACGACTCACAGGTCCCTGGGCTGCTTCTGTAACCCTCACAAGCTGTCCTGTGGGCACTTCCCCCTGAGCCCCTTGGGTCTGGTGGTCTGGAGCCCCAGGGCTGCTGCTGATCGTCATAGCAGCCAGGCACTGCTGCAAGTCCTGCCCATCCCCCTAAGATCCCACCCCACCACGCCCCACACAGGGCCCAGAAGAGGTCTCTAAAAGCTCTGTGAGGAGCTCACTGATAGTGGTCAAGGTCGGTCTCAGCATTCTTGATGACTCAACCTCAGTACTATGGTCTCTTGATGCAAAGAGCCGACTCACTGGAAAAGACCTTGATGCTGGGAAAGATTGAGGGCAGGGAGAGAAGGGCACGACAGAGCATGAGATGGTTGGATGCCATCACCAACTCAATGGACATGAGTTTGAGTAAACTCCGGGAGTTGGTGATGAACAGGGAGGCCTGGCATGCTGCAGTCCACGGGGTTACAAAGAGTTGGACACAACTGAGCGACTGAACACCAGACAGTAACAACCTCAGTAACTAATTTTGTAGGTAGATTGTATTTACGCCATACTTACTTCCAGTCTCTGGAAGAGAAGGAAGCACTATTACTCCCCTACTTGGAAACACGTTAGGATCTTAAGTTCTTGCAGTGACGTTAAGGACCTCTCCCCGTCTCAGGGTCGACGGACTGCGTGTGTTACTCGACAGTCGGCACAAACGACGCGGAGACCTCGGCTCTGCACATCATCGTGGGTAGGCGTCCTGTCAGCGCCACGCCCGGCGTGCGGGACCCCAGGGCTCCAGGCGCACACAGGTGTCCGTCTGTCTCGCCATGCGGGCGCCCCGGCCCATCCGCCCGCAGGGCCCTGTCTGCTGCCCTCCCCTGCTGCCATCCGGCTTGTCCAGCTGGGTGACCTTGAGAAACACAAGCACTGCTCAGACCCTCCAGGGCCCTGACCCAGCCTTGGGGTGCCTAGCACCCGTGCACCGGCTGGCTCTCCCCGCAGCCCCTGCACTGGCCAAGCGCCCCGCCCCCGCCCCGCCCTGCCTGTCTGGAGCCCTGCTCTCAGCCCTCTTTCCTGCTCAGGACTTGGCCCCTTATCATCCTGGGGGGACAGACCCCCCCACTCGACAAGACAGCGAGCCTCCTGGCCCCGTTGTTGTTCCCTCCCCACAGAAAAGCTCTCCAAGCCCCTTTTGGAAACCTGAGGCAGCTCCCAGGCCCCGTGAGCCGTTCCCGGGGCCGGGGCCGGGGGCGGCTCCCACTCGCCTCTCTCTGCAGGGGACTCGCTGTCCATGGACGTGTCGGCTGTGCACCACAACAGCACGCTCCTGCGGTACTCGGTGTCCCTGCTGGGCTACGGCTTCTACGGGGACATCATCAAGGACAGTGAGAAGAAGCGGTGGATGGGCCTCATCAGATACGACTTCTCAGGTAGCCCAGCTCCCACCCTCCCGTGAACCCCCAGCCCCTGTCTCCTCGCTCTCCCTGGGGCATGGGTCCACGGGTCCCCAGGTACAGGGCCAAGGGGAGGTCGACTGACTCCAGGCCGGATGAACCAGTGAGGGCCAGCAGTTTCAGGGCGTGTGCAGCACCAGCTTTCGGTGTTTAAATGCAGAGCGAAGTGAAAGGTGCTCAGTCCTGTCTAACTCTTTGTGACCCCATGAACTGTACAGTCCATGGAATCCTCCAGGCCAGAATACTGGAGTGGGTGGCCTTTCCCTTCTCCAGGGGATCTTCCCAGCCCAGGGATCAAACCCAGGTCTCCTGCATTGCAGGCAGATTCTTTACCAGCTGAGCTATCAGGGAAGCCCCAGTGCAGAAGGGAGCTTGAAAGGATAAAGAGGTCAGAGTTTGACGCTCTTGTGGCCGAGGCGAACGCCCTGGCCGTATTTACTAAGTTATTTATTTTTATTTTTTGGCTGCACCAGGGGGTTTTCGGGATCTTAGTTCCCCGACTCCTCAGGCCCCGGGCAATGGATACGCAGTGTTCTAGCCACTGGACTGCCAGGGAATTCCCTCCTCTTTTGCTGTACTTAATGCGTCTTTTCCCTGGTCACTCCCCTTATGGTTCACCTTTGGGTACATTTACAGGCACACCTTGGAGACATGTAGGGCTCAGTTTCAGACCACTTGGAGAAAGCAAATGTCAACATAAAGCAGGTCACATGAATTTTTTGCTTCCCCTGTGCCTATAAAAGCTGTGTATACACTATAGTGTAGTATGGTGGACTTCCGGCTCAGACGGTAAAGCGTCTGCCTACAATGCGGGAGACCTGGGTTCAATCCCTGGGTCAAGAAGATCTCCTGGAGAAGGAAATGGCAACCCACTCCAGTATTCTTGCCTGGAAAAATCCCATGGACGGAGGAGCCTGGTGGGCTACAGTCCATGGGGTCGCAAAGAGTCGGACACGACTGAGCGACTTCACTCACTCACTCACTCATAGTGTAGCGTACTGTGTGCAGTAGCATTATATCTCAGAAAGGTGCATACCTTAGTCTGAAAGTTCTTTGTGGTTAGAAACCGCTAACTGCCATCTGGGCCTTGTAAGTCGTAACCCTTGTTGGGTAGAGGGTCTTGCCTCCAAGTTGATGCTGCTGACGGATTGGGGTGGGGGTTGCTGAACGCGGGGTGTTGCAATTTCTTAAAATTCAACAGTGAAGTTTGCCGCATCGATCGACTCTTCTTCCAGGAATGACGTCTCTGTAGCCTGCAGTGAAATTTGATAGTGCTTAACCCACAGTAGACCTTCTTTCAGAGCAGGAGTCAGCCCTCTCACACCCGCCTCTGCTTGTCAGCCGAGTTTATGTAGTATTCTATCTACATCCTCGTCACTTCAGCCGTCTCCGCGGCATCTTCCCCAGGGCTAGATTCTGTCCAAGAAGCCGCCCTCTTTCCTCATCCACGAGAAGCAGCTCCTCCTCAGTTAGCGTTCTGTCATGAGAGGCAGGCCCCAGAGACCCCAGAGTTGAGGACGACAGGGCCAAGCCTGGGAGTGTGTGCGGGGCTTCACAGGCGGAACCCGAGGCCACGAGGGGTCCCTGGTGGCTGAGATGTCCCCTCTGCCGGCACGGAAGGTGACCCTGGCGGCCGGGAGCCTGCAGCGCCCCAAGACAGTGGGGGCAGCTCAGCCCGAGGCCAGAGGGGCCCTGTCCTTCTGTGGACGCTGTCCCCAGCGTCCCCGGCGACCCGCCAGCCCCTCCGCGAGGCTGACAGCGCCGTCCCCTCTCTCTCCCGCTCTGTCCTCAGGGTTGAAGACCTTCTTCTCCCATCACTGCTACGAAGGCACAGTGTCCTTCCTGCCAGCTCAGCACACTGTGGGCTCCCCGAGGGACCGGAAACCCTGCCGTGCGGGGTAAGCACATCCCACGTGTTTCTGTTCAGATGAGGAGACGGAAGCAGGCCCGGTGGGGGCTGAGTGGGCGGTCCTTGCAGTGTCAGGTGGGGGTGCTGTTTCATCACGTCCAGCGGCCAGGGTCCCCCACACCCTGAGGGTTTCCGCTGTGACCCCTCGTGCCGGCTCCTGGGCCATCGTCCACCCGGCGGAGGACTCACACCGCGCCGTGTGCTCCAGTGGGGGGTGGTCTGCTGTCCCCCTGCTGGGGGCCTGAGAAATGATGGAGAGGAGCGCTTATGGACAGCTCTGTGTGCGCCCTCCAGGCGCCCATGGAGCCGGCTGGACGGGGACACCCTGTGGTCAGGAGAGGCCGGGTCTGCAGCGGGGCCCCTCTGCCAGCTGCACGGACTTCTCACGCGGCGCGCCCCTGCCGTGAACTGCACGTGCCCGGGTGAACCCGGAGCCGGCTGGACGGGGTCACCCTGTGGCCGTGGCCCACCCGCCCCCGTCATGTCCCTGCTCCGCTGCCTGAGTACGCGGGAGGCCGCGGGCTTTCGATGGGCTCATGGTCCTCCTTCCTTTTTAAGTCATTCGCACGTAGGCCGTTCCCCCCGCCCCAATCCTTTCCTCCTCTGAGTGAAGAATCTGAGGCCGTAGGATCCACCAGCTGGGGGCGTAGCCTCGCTGGCTCGGCTTCCGATGAGCTGATTCCACCAGCGAAAGCCCCGGGCCCATTGGGCGGCCGGAGCCCCGCGGTGCCCGAGGACCCCAGACACCTCCTCGGCCTGCGACCGGGTCCCGCGAGCGCTGCTCTGAGCCGCTGACTCGCTTGTCACCCGCTGGACCAAACGGCCGCCGTGTTACCTGTCGGGCGAAGGGAACAAGGGCTCAGGCGGGTCCAAGGCTGGAGCTGCAGCTGGTTTCTGCTCCCGCCGGTGCCCCCGCCCCCCGCCAACTGCGGGCCGAGCTCACCCCTCCCCGGAGCCGACACAGGACCCGCAAGGGATGCGCCTGGCTCTTTGGAACGTCCATAAGTTTCCGAGAAGGATATGTTGTTGCCTGTGTAATTTCTGGGAGCGAATCTGATTTTGAGAGCTCAAATTAACGCGCAAGCGAAATATTTGTAAGTGAAGCGTCCGAGGCCGCGCTCCTGCCGCGCGGGAGGGGCTGACGGGCCCGCTGTGCGCGCGTCCCCGACCCGGCGCCGTCGTTGCCGCAGGTGCTCCGTGTGCAGGCAGAGCAGGCAGCAGCTGGAGGAGGAGCAGAAGCGCTCGCTGTACGGCCTGGACGGCACGGGTAGGTGTCCGGGCCGTGGCGGGCCCCCTCCCTCTCTGCAGAGCACCTGCTCCTCCGTCCCTCCAGGCCGAGCGCCCGTGGCCTCTGCCGGACCTTGGGGAAGAGCAGATTTTGTGGAAGGGCCCCTCTCGCCGCGGCCCTCTGAGTTACTCTGCGCCTGTCTCCAGGACGCTCTAGAACGGGGGTCCGCAAGTGGCCTCACTGAGGGCTAGATGAAAGCCCCGGGCTATTTGTGGATGCCGAAATTTGTTTCATGTCTTTTTCATCCATCACACAATACTTTCCTCGTTTGATTCCTCCCCCCCCACCAACCCATGTAAAAATGTAAAACTCAGTCTTAACTCACAGGCCACACACACTCAGCTGCCAGGCCAGATCTGGCAACCCCTGCCCTAGATGGTGGTCCCAGAGCCCCCCAGTCCCCGCCCACCCTGGGGAGGACTTCCTCTTGGGAGGTGACCGCGGGCGGGCTGTCTCTGTGTTGATGCCAAGGGGCAGGAGCCCACCCCCACCTGCTGGGCCCCGATTTAACATGGTGTGAGACGGTTGGATGGACATGAGTTTGAGCAAACTCTGGGTTGGCGATGGACAGGGAGGCCTGGCATGCTGCAGTCCATGGGGTCGCAGAGAGTCAGACAAGACTGAGCAACTGAACTGAACAGTGATGCTTCCTCCCGCTTCAGAGGAGGTGGAGGAGTGGAAGGTCCTCTGCGGGCAGTTCCTGGCCATCAACGCCACCAACATGTCCTGCGCTTGTCCCCGGAGCCCCCAGGGCCTCTCCCCGGCCGCCCACCTGGGGGACGGCTCCTCCGACCTCATCCTCATCCGGAAGTGCTCCCGGTTCAACTTCCTGCGCTTTCTGGTCAGGCACACCAACCAGGGCGACCAGGTAAGGGCGCCGCTGCCTCCATGCCACCGGTGTCAGCCGCGCCCTCCGCCTGGCGGCCCCGGGCGGGGAGACCGCTGTGCGTGCTCGGGGCAGCAGGAGAGATGCCTCTGCCTGCCTTTCACCCACTGTGAACTCTTGGTCATACTTCCTCCTTATAAAGTCTACTTATAAAGTCTTTGATTACGGCCTCTAGGAGGCGTGAATGTTTCCATACACTTCCCTGTTGTCTCTCTTCCTGTTTACAGACAGAACAGGCTGATGCAGGGCCGTTTTCTGTTGCCCTCCCAGACCACTTACAGCACAGTCTTCAGGCCCCCGGGAGGGGGTTCTGCTGAGACCCTCCCAGCAGACCCACCCTTAGCCACTGTCATGCGTGTAGCGACGTGGCGGGGGGGATCCGAGTCTAACGCTATCCAGATAGTTGCAACTCTTGATGGGTCTCAGATTATAGTAAAGTTCACAGCTGTTAAATTTTTTCTAAGATCTGGTCCAATGGTGTTTTTAATGTGTTTTTACCGCTTGTTAAAAAGGTAAAGAATGGTACAGGTCACTGCTTGGGAACCAGGAAACTCCGTAACGAGTGTAACACAGCGCGGCTGAGACCGGGTTTTAAGAGCGCTGGTGACCGTTTCTCGTGTCCCCACGTTGTGGGGGGGCTCGCTGGGAGGCCCCCTGACGGTGGCCATGCCCCCAGCGCAGCGCCGCTGAGAGCACATTCCCGTCTGGCTGTCTCTCGCTAGTTTGACTTCACTTTCGTGGAAGTCTATCGCGTCAAGAAGTTCCAGTTTGTGTCGAAGCCAGCGGAGGACGAGGACAGCAGCGTGCTGGGCCGCGGGAAGAAGCGGCTGGGACAGCTGTGCAGCGAGCACCCCAGTGCCTGCTGCTGCCACGCCTCCAGCAGCACCTGGAACTGCGATGGGGAGGTGCTCAGCAGCCCGGCCATCGAGGTCAGGTGAGCGGAGGGGCCCCGGGAGCCTGGCACCCTACTGCCTGGAGCGTGAGAGCCCACCGTGCCGGCACGGGCGTGCCCAGGGACAGTCCCCGGGAGACGCCCTTGTCTCAGTGCTGGGAAGATGCTGGGGGTGGAAGCCCCTCCGTTTCACTTTCTCTGCCGCATCCTTCACTGTTGTACCCTCTCATCTCCTAACCAGTTAAACTAACAAACTCCCTTTGTGGGCACTTTCTGAGCCCTGGGTCCACTAACTCCACCAGGAGGTGCTCCAGCCCAAGGAACCCACAACCGAGCTAAGGTCCAGATGTCAGGTCTGACCCTCCAGCTCCAGATCCGTTAGGCCTATTGTATCTGGACTTGGGAATCTGCATTCTGGTTATATGTATTACATAACCAGGTGAAATATAAGTGCCAAGAAAGGTTGTTTGTTTTTTTTTTAAATATAAGTGCCAAGAAAGGTTTTTTCCCCATGGAAGGACATAGTCAAATGCATTCTTTTTTTTTTTTTTAAAAAAAAGGGCTGTTGATGGAGGTGTGGGTGTAAGTGCGCTAAGTCACTTTTGTCATGTCCAACTTTTTGCGACCCTGTGGACTGTGGCCCGCCAGGTTTCTCTGTCCATGGGGAGTCTCCAGGCAAGAATATTGGAGTGGGTTGCCATTTCCTCCTCCAGGGGATCCTTCCCACCCAGGGATCAAACCTGTATCTCTTACATCTTTTGCATTGGCAGGCAGGTTCTTTACCACTAGTTCCCCCTGGGAATACCCCAAGAGATTGAGGGGGAATTGTTTAATTCTAGAAGGATTCTCTCTATCCTGTTACAAATGCCTTTAGGATCTTGAGAGAAAAGTGAAAGCCAAAGTGTTAGTCGCTTAGTCATATCCGACTCTTTGCGACACCTTGGACTGTAGCCCGCCAGGCTCCTGTCCATGGAATTTTCCAGGCAAGATTACTGGAATGGGTTGCCATTTCCTCCTCCAGGGGATCTTCCTGGAAGAACTCAGGTCTCCTGCATTGTAGGCAGATTTTTTACTGTCTGGACCACCAGGGAAGCCTACTTTAAGGAAACCAAACTGGACCCTTGTTGACCATAGTGAGTGGGTTACACGAGGGAGGTGATCACAAGCAAGCACGTAGCCCCACCCCTGCAGCGTGGAAGGACAGGTGGGCACACCTTCCACACTCCGGCATGCCACGTGTGTCCTCGCTTATAACCCCACTTTAGATGGCTTCTCAGGCAACCAGCCACTGACCCAGCCGGGTCTCTCTACCCTTAGCGTCCAAGCAAAGCCACGGGCAGAAGCAGGCTCTCCAGTCTCCCCGAGGCCCGGCCTGCTTGCAGCTGCTCTCGCAGCTGGGGCGCAGCCAGTGTGGCCGTGACTGCCCACCTTGCGTCTCAGGGCAGGGGGGCTCCACGGTCCCAGGAAAACCCGTCCCGTGGGCCTGTGTGTGGGGCTCCGCCTTCGGTAGACTCAGGGCACAAGTTCAGGAGATGGAAGTATGTTTAATGCCAGCTTAGGAATGGTTGACAGTTAGAAAAGGCGTTCTCTCACGAAGTAGATCCTATGCATCCTGATAACGATTACGATGCCTGGAACAGCACGTCACTTTGGGGGTTTTTATGACGCAGCACCTCTGCGGCGCCTGTGACGTCATTCATAACCTGGGAGGAGGCCCCGCGGGCCAGAGGGGGTAACCCAGGAGCCCCTGTAGACCTCCCAGCCCCAGGCTCACGTGCTGTGCTTGCGGTGGAAGGTGGGGGCCCTTGCCTCCGGGCCTGCGTCTCCTGACGCTCCGAGTGGCCCTCGCGGGACCCGCCCTGCAGCCCCGGCAGCCCAGCTCTGGTGAGCGGACCCAGGAGAGGCGGAGCTGGCTGTGGGGCTGTCCCTCTGCTCTTGGGTGGGTCTGCGCAGTCCTGGATCTCCGCTTGGCCGTCGCTGCCCTTTGCAAACTCGGTCTCTCAGGGGTGCCCGGACATTTCTCCGAGCCCCTGACCCGCCCCCCTGGTGGCTGAGGCCCGCCTCTCCCCGGGGCCAGGGGTCGGGGTCTCAGTGTGGCCCTCTGTCTCCGCAGGGTCCACTGCCAGCTGGTCCGGCTCTTCGCACGAGGAATCGAAGAGAGCCCCAAGCAGGAGTCCCGCGGCTGAGCGCCGGCCGTGGGGACCGTGTCTCAGACAATGACGACAGACCAATTATGTTGCGATACATTCAAATTTAGAAATTTATTTTTGATAGTTGAATATTGATTTTAGAAAAAATAACGTTTTTGTCAGCAATTTTTGTGGATGCATTTGGCATTTTCGGTTCTGTGTGCGTCTGTGGGCTGCATCTCATGTGTCTCATCAGCCCCAGCAGGTGGCCCGTGCCGGCTGGGGCGCGCTGACGGCCCGCCCCGGCTCTGAGGAGCAGCTCAGGGGTGGTGCGTTCTGTCGCGTGCGTCCTCGGGGTCCCTGGGCCGCTCGGCAGGACCTGCTCTGGAGCGGTGGTCAGCGCCTGCTGAGTCATGGTTGTCTTTGTAGCACTTGACTCTCCCCTCTCGATCAGAGCGGCCCATCCGGACCCTTCCCGTCTCGCGCACCTACAAGGCCATGTCCTAGTCCGCCTCCAGGGCAGCCTGGTCCAGAGAGCGGGAGGGACTCCCCGGGTTGCTCTCCCATAGCTGTGAAGAGCTCAGTCCCCTCTCCCATCACAGCAGTGCTTCTAGACAATCTGGTGGGAGGACAGGTCAGGCGCCCCGGAAACCGGCCACTCGTGAAGCCCTGGCGAGTGTCTTAACGCTTAGACGCCCCCAGCGCTGTCCCCATGGCGGGGGCTGCCGTGGTTGAGCTTGGTGAGCAGATGGGAAGCAGCCCGTGAACCTCAGACCGAGCGCCCCACCGCCCTGGGGAGAGGGTCCCACATCCCGGGGTGCCTTTCCCGCAGCCCCGAGTCTGTACATGTGACCCAGGTACATGCCTTTGTTGTCTTCACACTTCCTTCCATGTATTTATTGCAAGGTTTGTCCTGTAAACCAGAAGAGCATACACAGTGTCCTCGCTGGCCGTGTTTTCATTTGTTTGCTGTGCAAGTACGGGCCCCACCCTGGACCGGGCTTGGGGGGCGCCTCGCTCGGCCCAGTTTTGTTTGCGTTTGTGCTTCAGTGCGTGGACGACACGTCTGCAACAGCTTCATCTGAGACCTAAGAGGATGCTGCCCCCACCTGGACTTGTGAAAAGGGAGCTCGACTGTTACAAGAAGTGGTTTGAGAGCTGCCAGCCGCCATACAGGGTCCGGTGGGCACCCTCGGATCTAACAGATGTCGTTCATTCTCAGAACTCGTACGTGTGAAATGTCCTGTCTCATCACTCATTCCCACCCAGGGCAGCTTCGACAGGGGTTTTTCAGGAGACCGTGTTCCTACCGGGTCCCCAAGAGGGTCTCCACAGTCTCGATTGTCCCTGGGAAACGTCAATCACTGGTCTGCCCCGAAACCCACTGCCGTTTCTAGAAAACCAGTCTAGGCCGAGAGTAAGCATGTTCTGTTCAAGAAGGAACCCCTCACCCCCACTCCCATAAGCCACATGGTTCCCCAGTGGCCTTGGCCATATCCACCAACTGCTTGCTGACCTACAAAACCGCAGATTCTGGAACTGTCCCTGGGGGTCATGTGACTGTCTGAGCCCCCACCCTGACCCCAGGAGCTGCGGACGACCCCACCCCGGGACCAGAGTACCTTTCCGACCTTCCCACGAGCCAGGACTCTGGTGGAACGACCACAGCGCCTAAACTCCAGGATTTAAGGAAAAATCAGAACTGATGGCTGGACGGAGAGAACCCGGGGTCGCTGGAAGCGCTGGTCTGGTCGTGACCTCCGCCGTGCTCAGTGGGGCCGCGGTTCCCTTGCTCCCGGTTATGCAGAGGCCAGGGCGGCCAGCGTAGGCTGACGCTGCCCTCACTTAAGCCCCGTGGAACTGGCGGTGGGAACGGAAAGTGGCTTAACTTCCTTTCTAATCTTGCTGGCTTCAAGGTTAGAAAACGGCGAATTTGCTCTGATATGTTTGAGGAGACAAATAAAGTTGTTACTTTGGGCAGAATGTGGCCTTTTTTCTCTCTCTTACAAATTCCTGTTGTCTTTCAAAGCAGAGTATTTTTTTGTGTGTATGAAAACAGGTACAATTTAAAGAAATTGAGCAATGGTGAACCTACCACCCATGCCAAGGAATTGATCTTCACCCCAGGCTCCTCCCCGTGTGCCCTTATGGATGGAGCCTCCCCTGCCCCCACGGAGGAGGGAATCCCTTGCTTCTCCACGTCAGGGGATCGGAACACAGCACCTCACGTGGGCCACTTGGGCATGAAGGTGTTCTGAGCAGAAGACAGTGACGCAACCACCCATGCAGACAGCGCTGCCTGCCCCCTCCCCCCCGTCTGCCTGCAGGGCGACACCTTCCCTGTGTGCAGGTGAGCCCCCCTCTTCTCGGGGGCCACCGTGTGCCTGGGGACAGAGCCAGCACTGAGCTGACAAACCAAACTGAACAATGCAACAGCCCTTCTGTTCCGCTAGCCAGCCCCCTGTGGCTCAGCTGGTAAAGAATCTGCCTGCAGTGTGGGAGGCCTGGGTTCCACCCCTGGGTTGGGAAGATGCCCTGAGAAGGGAAAGGCTCCCCACTCCAGTATTCTGGCCTGGAGGATTCCATGGAGTGTATAACCCATGGGGTAGCAAAGAGCCAGACATGACTGAGTGACTTTCACTCTGTTCCGTTAATTTCCCCCCAAATAACATTCCTCAATACCTTCATTTTACCCAAGAAGCCAAGCTCCCTTTTATCTTGTCACTTCTTGACAAGTTTGTTGCCCTTTATTAAAATGGCATATAAAACCCTGAGTCTGACCACCTCTTTGCTTTTCCACAAAGGCCTCCAGGAACATAAAAATACTTATATATTAGTATTAAATAAAAACCCCATGCCCTTTCTAATTTGCCTTTTGTTGACTTAACTTGCCGACCCTAGTAACTGAACACAGGAGGGGAGGAGGGAGGTTTTCTCCCTTCCTCTGTGTTTATATCCTCAGACAGCGTGTTTGTTTTGCAGGTTTTGCTCTTTACATAAAGGCATCATATTGTGTCATTTTTCTGTAGCTTCTTTCGTTTAGCGGGTATTAAGATGTTTTCATCATGAAATGGAATTTTCCAGTCTATTAACATCGCATATATTTTCATTTACGTCAGTCCTCATTGATGTCTTTAATGCAGCTTTATAATTTTTCCATATCTGTCAATTTTATTTAGGTTTGTTCTTAAAAACAACATTATTGTGAGGCCACTCTCCTTCAAGTAGAAATGCAGCTATTTTTTATGAATGAGATTATATCCAGGAAGCTGGCCCCATTTATCTGCAGGCCTGGGGACTGTCCGTAATCACAGATACTGGAGTGTCTTCCTTTACAACCTGGGTGGTGGGATGCCAGCCCTTGACCGTGGAGGACGCTGGGTCCACAAGAGGAAGGGGCTGGGCTTCCTGTCCCAGTGTTTTGGGGGCAGGTCTCAGCGAGCCAGACACTGGGGTCCCCCCCGGGTCACGGACCGCAGCTGCTGGTCCCCAACACCCTGCAGTCTTCAGGGCCCCTCACAGGAAGTAACTCTGGAATCGGCCTGGCCCGTCGGTTACTGCGGGGCCAAGCGGACCAGACCCAGCTCCTGGCTCGCCGTGAGCGCCCCCTGTGGCCAGTGTGTGCATTTACCTGTCCGTCAGTCGTAAGATCGCCCCCCAAACGCCGTGTCGTAAACAGCACCGGTGGAGACAGCCCCAGTTCAAGAACAGGGACGTTCATTTCACTCCCTCTGTGCTCCCGTCTCCTCCTCCTGCCCCCCGGACCCCCGCGCCCCGCACCGCTGGGCCCCAAGCACCGGTCAGGGCGCGGCCCCCGTGGCTGCCGAAGCCAGGCAGGTCCCCGGATCGGCGAGTGGATCCGCGGAGCCACGCGTGCTACTGAGAACCCCTCTGCCCGGGGCCCCGCTGCCTCCCACCTCTCAGCCTCAGGGGGACGCTGCGAGCAGCACCCGGCCCCCAAGACGCCCTCGGCCCCCCGGGGGGGAGCTACCCCCACCTCCCCCCACCTCCCTGCTGTGTGCCAGCCCCCGGACACCCCTCCCCGCCGGCCACCGCTCGTCACTGGCTTCCTGCCTCCCTCTTCCCGGCCTGTCCGTGTGCACAGCCCGCTGCCCTGCCCCCACGGCCCACTCCCGGGGCACCCGCTTCACCCCTCGGACTCGGCGCCAAAACCCCACTGCCCTCCAGTGCTGCTGGCCCCCGGACCCTGCCAGGAGAGACACCCCGCGCCCCCCCCCCCACTGTGAGCACAACGCATTCCAGGTGTACTTAAATAAAAATTTATAATTTATACAAGACTTTTTCTTTAAACAAGGTTTTTTTTTAAAAAAAAAAATTACAGGAGGATTTTTTTTTTAATCAGTTCTTCATACAGTACAATCCTTTTGTTGAACAAAAGTCACACTGGTAACGAGTATTTACAGTTGAAAAGAGACTCAAGCTTCGGACATAAAAAATGTTAACATTCATTCAGTTCCGGGATTAGTCGCAGAAATCAAACATCTGCCCAGATTTACACGATTCAGTAAAAACAACACCGGCTCTCGCCGACAGGGCGCCTGCTCAGGCCTGTGCCCTTCCCGGCGGAGGCCCTGGGCTTCCAAGCAGGGCCCGCCGCAGCCCCTACCAGCCGCGCCCAGCACATGGTCAGTTTTCATCTCCCTTTCTCCTGGGAAGGGACTCAAACCAAGCCATGCGGCTCTGAAGACAGCAAGTACGCTCCCCCGCAGGGCCCCCGCCCCGGGCTCAGAGACAGTGCCAGCGTGCTTACAGGGGACGCACGCTGACCATGCGGCGGCCCCAGCAATGGGGTCTGGCAGCACCCCTGGGTGTCACCCCCACAGTCATCCTGGACCAAGTCCAGGGCCCACCCAGCCTGCCTCGGGCCCGGAGGGGGTCCCCACTGGCTGTGGACCCTCACTCAGCCCGAGACCCGGTCCATCTACGCTGACCAGGGGCCAAAGCCCAGGCCGAGGGGGTGGGGGCTCCGCCTACGTCTGTTCAAGGTCGACCTGCAGAATCGCGAGACCCCAGCGCTGGGGGGAACCGGGAGCCGAGCCGGCCCCGCATGTGCGGTCCGAACAGGGGCGTGTGCTTTGGGAGCTGATGGGGGAGGCTCCCCGCGGGGAGTGGAGGGGCCCCCTCCGGGGGTGTGACCGGAGCGAGGCCACCGTGTCGCTCACCCGACCAGCAAATTAGGAGCAAAGGTAAAAATCACATCTGAAAAATGATACAAAAATAAGAAAAACAGCTTGCTCTCTGTAAAAAATATAATCTTCTGTTTCTTCAAAAAACAACAAACCCAGTGTCTCCCGGGGGACTCAGGACAAGCTGAGGGCTGGCGGGGCCTGTTGTTGGAAGTGTGCTGAGTGGCTAGGCACGTCTGTCCCGAGGTCTCGGGCCAGTCCCAACGCCTTGCTGGCTTCCGACGCCAGGCGTGCGAGGACCCAGCTCCCCTCCACCTGGGTGCACCCGCGTGCGGGCCGGCCTCCGGGCTCTGCTCTGCGCCACGGCCAACACCAGGCAGACTCAGCGCCTGTCACAGCCCGCAGGGGTAGGCCACCGCGGGCCTGGGGCGCCCCTGTCCTTCCTGCTCCAGCCCAGGAGCCCCTCACCCAGCAGGCCCTGCAGCCTGGAAGCCGGCATGAGCCCTGAAGCTCGGAGCTCCCCCCCCCCGAGTGGCTGTCGTCCTGGGCCTCCCCGCATACCCCGAGCGGCCGGCCGGCATCGCACTCCCAACACGCGTGCGGGGCCTCCTTGAAGGGCCGGCCCGTTCGCGGAGGCTGGCGGGGCCCCTCACCCGTCGCGGACGCCCTTCTCCACAGGGAGGCCCTGCACGCTCCTCCTATGGCTTTGGTGCAGAAGAGCTGCTGGCGCCCGGGACCCAGGCTGGGCGGTCTCTGCCCCGCGGGGACCGAGGGGGCCCGGCCGTGCCTGGCGGCGGGTCCCGTGTGTCGTCGTCCTTCCCGGCGGCCCCCGCGTCCACGGGACAAGCCCTCGAGAGCCCCGACCCCTGCACAAAGGGGTCTACAAAACGCAGGGTCAACACAACGGAAACCACACATCCAAGGGGGGTTATTGCAAAAGATCATGAGGATGTCCGATTTTTTTTTTTCCACTACCAAATTGTTAAGAAAGAAGAAAAAAAGAAAAACTTCCGCGGCGTCCAGGTGAGTCAGCACTAGCTGTCACTGCCAGCGGCTGCCGCGGACGTGATCTTCATGTACTGGCTGAAGATGGTCTCGAACGCCTCGTCCCTGTGCACCATGGCGCCGAACACCAGCGGCTGGCGGAGGGAGCAAGCAGGTGCAGGCGGAAGTCCGTGCCGGCCAGGGCCATGCCGGAGCAGGCCACGCAGGCCGGAAGACAGCAGGCCCGCCCCCACCCAGAAGCCAGCCCCCCCACCCCCAGCCAGAGGCACACCCCAAGCCCACCCCCCGCCTCCGGGACCCCAGCCAGCACTTACCTTCTGGGTGGATGGCGTGGACACGGCAATCCCCATGCCCGACCCCGGCAGGACAGAGAGGACCTTGTACTGAAAGCAGACAGTGGGCGCGTCACCTGGGGCCTCTCCTGGGGTCAGGGCCGCCCTCCCCGCACCCCAGGACCTTCTCCTCCATAGAGCCCTGGATGGCAAGACTGCCACGGGCCCGGGCCTGGACAGCCATAGAACGCGGGCAGATCCAGTGCCTGAGACGCCAGAGCTGCAGACACTCCCGAGCGAGGCTGAGGGTCGCACTGAGGAGCACACTCGAGGGGGAACAGGGCCCCACGCCCCATCTTGGCCCTGAGCCCAGCGACCACACGCCTCTCAGGGAGGGGGGCACCGATCATGGCCGTGGGGCGCTCCTGACACACAGCGGCATGGAGGCAGTGCCCAGCTGAGCCCTGGGTCCCCCCAGGGTGCCCAGAGGGGGCTGTGTGCAGGCTCGGGCGCCCAGCTCACTGCCCCCCGCTCCGTCCATGCAAGGATGCCGGGCACCGGCCCACTATGCTAGGAGTGGCCCAGCCCGCGGTGTGGACCCCCCGCCCCCCTGCACCAATGGGGCCCAGGGGCCCATCCTGATGGTCTACACGGCCCCCCACTCCCAGGGTGGCTCCCTGCGTCACGAACCCTCAGCTGCCTGCTCCTGAGGCAGGGGGAGGGTGGGGGGCAGTACCCACCTTCTGGATGTCTGTGATGTCCATCAGCTTGATGACTTTGTTCCTCTTAGAGGAGCCGGACTTGGAGCTTTCGAAGCACAGGTAACTACAGGGCGGGCGGGGGAGTGGACAGAGTCTGGCCAGTGAACCAGGGGGCCACGCCTGCAGCTGCCCCGCAGCCCAGACATGGGGCCCCCCTCACTGGCCAGGACACGCCGGCCTCCCACGAACAGTTTCGCTTTTACAGGGTCTCACGGCTTCTCTAGTCTAGAGCCCAGCACTCCCACTGAACCCCACTCACCATCCCACAATGAGCCCTGCGGGGCGCCCAGCGGGAGATATTTGCACCTGAGGCCCAGGGGGGTCTGCCTGGCCAGAACCTCCAGCAAGGGGGTGGGGAGGAAGGTGTGGTCCTCTGTGGAGGGTGGGGGACAAGGTGGTCGGGGACCCCCCAAGCTGAGACCAGTCCCTCTCTGGGCCTGCTCCCCACCCCCCACCCCCACGGGGCAGCTGGGCCGCCTCGTCCCAAAGGGAGATGAACAAGGAACCTGCCGGCCGCCCTGGGAGCCCTGGGGGTCCAGGCTGGGGGGTGGGTTCCTGCCACAAGACGAGCGCGGCAGACCAGGGCAGCCCGGGGTCCGGCGTGTCGGACTCCAGGGCCGGGGCCCAGCGGCTCTGGGCGGGCGCTGGACTGGAGGGATGCCTGCTCGGACTCTGGCCGCCCCCGGGGGTCATGCCTGCCTGCACCCCACTCACGGCTCACTCACTTCTCCGTCACGTACAGGACCCCGTTCCTGATGTAGTCAGTCGGCATCTTCCGGTCCCGGTTTATCAAGCAGCACCGCCAGCCATTCTCACACACTAACGGGGACAAAGCCGGCAGGACTTGGCCGTGACGCTCCCACCGGAGACGCCCGCCCTGGACTCGCGTTGCGAGTGTCAGCGCTGGCCTCTCGGGAACGTCCGAGGCACGCGGCACGCGCTCCACTATCAGAGAAACCCATGGGGTCGGGGGCAGCGGGGGCTGAAGCTGCTGGGAAACGGGCGTCCCCGCCCACGTGAGCGGGCAGGGGCAGGAAGGCCGAGCCCGGTTCACGGTCTAGGTCAGCAGGAAGAGGGCCTGGGAGAAGGTCAAGGCTGAAGCTCTGCAAAGGTCTCCTGTGGCTGGGGTCACACACAACAGAGGCTACAGCGTCTAAGCCGCCCTGACCGCGCCTGCTTACCTCTCTGCTGCCAGACCGCCCGCCGCAGAGCGCCTGGCCGCTCTGACCTCTGCCCCTGGGGGCCTCCCCCAGCCCCCACGGTCTACTCCCGCCTGTGGGCCGCAGCACTGGGGCGGGCGAGCGCCAGGCCTGGCCACGGGCTTGGCACGCACGTACCCGCCAGCGGACGCTCGTTCTCCGTCAGGTTGAAGATCTCGTGGAAGTTGCCCTTCTTGGCGCTGTGCAGGCGGCCAGCGTCCTCATCCCTGTTCAGGCCAGCGGGTGCGCTGGACACGCAGCTCCGGGAGGATGCCGTCTGAAGCTGCGGGGGCCCAGGCGCCTGTGAGCACCGCCCGCCGAGGCGGCAGGGGAGGCACGCGGTCGCCCCCCCCCACCCCCCGGGCCGGCCGAAGCCCCGGCCACCGAGAACAACATCAGTCATCAGAGTCAACCAGAGTCACGCACAGCCCCGGGGCGGGAGGGGCGTCCACACGGACACCGCACCTCGTCGCGTCCTGACTGCTGGCCAGAAAGAACAACGCACACGGGACCAGGACAGAAGAAGGGGCGGGGGCCGCGTGACGGGAGGCGCGACCCCCCGCTGAGTGAGCCGCGTGCCAGTGGGCCACCCTGCTCTCTGGTTAAGACTCAGGGAGCCTGCTTGTGGGCCTCAGCCCCGGCACCTGGGTCTGTGACCGGAGCCCACCCACGGGTGCGGTGAGGTGCGTGTTGCGCACCTGGCCTGTGAGTCCCGCCCCGCAACGAGCCTCGTGGCCCCCGAACCCAGGACGCCTGGCCTGTGCCTGACCCAGCGCTTCCCTCCCAGACAGAGGCATCAAGGCCGTCACTGGACGCCCAAACACAAGGCTGAAACCCAACATCACCTCCTCCAGGAAGCCCTCCTACACCTCCACGGGAGTCCTACTGAGCCCAGAACCTCCCCACTAGTCTGAGACCCCAAGAAGAGCAGCAAGGCCAGCAGGCCCTCAGCGTCCTGGCTCTGGGCATGGTGCCCGATGCCCACACAGCCTTCTGCCAGCCTGTGAGCACTGACTGTGCCGTCTCAGCCCTGTTGCCTGAGGCTGAGCCAGGGAGCGGGGACCAGGCCCCCCCAGAGAGCAGGCCCCCCTGGGGCTCCGGCTTCCAGCACCCTGAACCCTCCTGCCTGGGGCCTGGCGGCCCAGCTGGCTGGGCAGGGCCTGCTCACCAGCCAGTCTGGATGGGCAGAGGTCTTCAGGTGGGTGGGGACCTCCCCCAACAGCCGTCCCAGACCTCTGGGACAGCAGAGCCGGTCACGGGGAACTTGCCCCCACAGCGGTCTTATTTCCAGCGCTCCACGAGACCAGAGCCACCAGCCTCCCCAGGAGCGGGCGCGAGGCACAGCAGGGCGGGCGGGCAGGCCTCCCCAGCCGGGACGCGGCCTACCCTGCGTGACACGGTGGTGCTGGAGCGCTCCTTGAGCTGGGGGTCCGTGGGGAGGCTCTTCCAGATGATGTAGGGGGTGTCGTACTTGGCTCGCAGCCTCGGGCAACGTTTGAAGATAAAATCGATGAGGAAAAACTTGACTCCGGCGTAGAGGCCTGGGGGGCAGATGAGGTCCCGTCTCAGCAAGACCCTGCGGCCCCGCCCGAGTGAGCGGCCAGCACACAGTCCCCACCCCGCCTGGGGGCCCTGGTGCTCGCGGAGGGCCTCCTGGGACCCAGGTGCCGGACGGTGGTCCTGGGAGGTGGACACGCAGGGCGGGGAAGGGGCTCCAGCTGAGAAGGAGGCCTCTGCTGGGGACTGTTATCTCAAGCCCAGAGGCGGCTCAGGCCAAAGGATAAACTGTCCCTGCAAAGAGCCAACCAAACAGAACCATGGGTCACCGTCTTCCGAGGGGACGTGAGCAGGACTTCAGGGGACCCCCGCGCCAGCCTGCCCACCCCCGTTCACACGCTGAGGACGGGCCCAGAGTCAGCTCCAGGCAGGGGACACCGAGGCTGGGAGAACCCCACCCATGGCCGGGCCTGGGGGCGTTAGGCTGGGCCAGGGGCTGGGTTGCTTCAGGACCCCGACCTCAGCCCCGGGCAGTCTCTTCACGCCTGTGCCCCCCTCCCTGTCCTGCTACGACCCTCACACCGGGGGCCGAGCATCCGCACCCACTGCGAGCTTCAGGGATGACCCCGAACATCAGAACCCCCAACCCACAGCTCCATGCCCAGCTCAGCCCATCGAGCCAGGCTCCACAGCATCCACGTTCCCCACCAAGCCCCCTCCCAACCTCCGAGGGGCCTCACAGGGCATCCCGGTGGCTCCCTCCTGCCCGCAGTAGCCCATTTCCCCGCCAGGCCACCACCCAGGTCCCCTCCCCCATCTCCCATCTCCCCGCCACCCTGGACTCCAAGCCCAGCCTTGTTCTCTTGGGAACTCAACCTACAACCAGGAGGTTTGGGCGGAGGTTGGTCCTACACACCTCCCCACCCAGGATTAAACGCTAATGCCCTCCACCCCACTGCCCCTCCCACCTCCCTGGAGGCACCGAACAGCCACCCAGCCACTCAGGGCAAAACTGACCCCTACCCCAGCCCAGCCCACCCTCACAAACCCTGACAGCAATGCTTTGCAAACCCGCCTGGACCTGAGAACACCCCAGACTCACTTCACCCCAGCCCAGGGACGTCCTTGATGCGCCCAAAACACAGGTCAGAATTGCGCCCCCTCCAGCCCCAGCTCGAGTCCCTACACCGCCACAGGACCTGAGGCCGCCTGTCCACAGCCCCGCCCTGACGCTGGCTCCCACCCCGCCCCATCACACCCCTGTACCCTCTGACCTGTCCCCCGTACCCCGGGAGCCCAGGAGCGCTCACAGAGAGCCATGGCAGACACCCAAGTCCAACGGGCCTGGGGTCCACCAGCCCCGCCCGCCCGGCCGGCAGAGGACGGGCTGGATTCGAGAAACCCAACTCTCTCTCTGGGTTGGATGGACTCCACGTCCCCCGAGTGCAAAGGTTCTGAAGATCCACGGGGGAGGGGCGCAGGGAGACGAGGGCACGAGCTGCCCACCTGAGGGCTGCAGGGGGGGGGGCACGTCCTGGGGCTGCGGGGGGGTCGGGGGTGAGGGCACAGGTGGGGGTCGGGGTGGGGCGCGTCCTGGGACTGCAGGGGGGTCGGGGGTGGGGGCACAGGTGGGGGTCGGGGTGGGGCGCGTCCTGGAGCTGCGGGGGGTTCAGGGGGTGGGGGGCGCGTCCTAGGGGCACAGGGCCCCCCGGCTCCCACGCAGGTCAGAGGGCCGGGCACCCGCAGCTCCTTACCCAGGGCCAGCCCCACCAGGCGGAAGGGGAAGAAGCAGGAGGCGAGGAAGGCGGCCCACAGTGCCACGTACAGCTTCTGGGTGGTCTCGGGCTGGACCCACATGAACAGGCTGGAGGAAGAGGACAGGCTCAGAGCAGGCGGGCGGACCCCCAGCGGGCGGGCCCCAGGCGCGCGACTTACTTCTTGATCTTTTCCAGAATGTCTGCCATCTTGCCGAAGAGGTTCTGTGTGAAGATGGAGCTGTGGTCACGACAGAGACCCCTGGGGCCGCACGGCAACGCTGGAGATGCCCAGAGACCGCGGCCGGAGGCGCCATGGGCCCGTGCTCCTGGATCCCCCCAGGGCCGGCAACGGGGCTGGAGCCCAACCGAGGGTGAACACCCCGCCCACTGGGGACGAGGGGCCAGGCTCCATGCCCTCCCGGGAGCTCGCCGGGGCGACGGTCAGGAGGGGCTCCACCCACTGGGACCGGCCGCAGACAAGGCCACGCCAGAGGGGGGCTCTCCACACTGAGTGGGCTCACGGGCAGGCCGGGCTGGAGTTCCGGAGGCCCCCACCCCGAGTCTGGCAGCACGTACCTGGGCTTTCTGGGCGACGTCCAGCACGAGCTGGAACTTCTCAGACACGGTCAGGTCTTCCTTCGGAGGCTCCTTCAGTCAAAGGAGAAAGAGAATTTCCACTGAAATTTAACAGTTCAGAGAAATTACCAACGTTAAACAGGACGAGGCCTCCCAGCCCGGGGACCAGGGTCTCTGCCGCCCCGACAGAGGGACGGGCGTCCCTGGGGGGCCCAGACCGAGGGCGCGGCATGGACAGCCGTTCCCCCTGACGCCCCCGTGGAGCCCGAGAGACAGCGGGCAGCCCCCCACCTGACTGCTGCCCAAACAGGCCGCCTACAGAGGAGCACCTGTGAGCACAGAGCCCCTGGCCCAGCCCCGCTTCCCAGGCGCGGGGACCAAGGCCCCAGTGGGAGTGCCTGACCTCGTCCAGCCGGCCTCAGTTCACTCAGCAAGAACCTCCCGAGGACCTCCGGTGCCAGGGCCAAAGGGCGCGGGCCCACTTCCCCGACGCGCCCCCCAACCTGACCCGTCTAAGGGGCCCTGCAGACCCACCGTGCCTTGCACCCTGCCCTGGTCCATGTTCAACCCCCAAGGGCTGCTCAAACACCCCACGAGGCCCATGGAGGCACCGCGGCTTCCCCTCTGCCTGTGCCCAGAGGTTCTGCCCCTCAGGCCAGGGTCCCCTGCGGAGCAGGTGGGCAAACTGTCTGTAAAATGCCAGGGGGCAAGCGGGTGTGCCTCCGCAGGCCTGACGTCTGTCACAGCTGCTGCAGCCCCAGAAGAGTCACAGCATAAATGAGTGGGCATGACAGAGACCCATAAAACTTTATTTACAAGAGCAAGCAACGGGCCATAGGGAGCTCTGCTGACCCCGCTCTACATGTCCACTGCTCCAGCCCACTCATCGTCCACCTCCCTCCTCGGGACGGGGGGGAGCGGTTCCTGGGGGCCCCCTCGCTGCCTCCCCTCCACATCACGTCCCAGCTGAGGCGGGGCAGGCCAAGCCAGGCTAGGCCAAGCTGCTTCCCACACGGACAAGCCCAGGCCAGGGACGTCAGACGGGGAGGGCTCTGAGTGGGAGCAGCCAGCCGTCTCCTCTCTGAGCACTCCCCACCGGGCAGGGCTCCCCGCTGGCGCCCATGCAGCCAGCCCTGGGGGCCTTGGGGGACCCGCGCCCTCCCACACAGCCTGACCCCATGACAGAGCCCCTCCCGGGACTTACCACCACTTCGGACACTTCGGGCACGATGCTCCACTGTATCCTCCAGCCCCTGGCGAACAGGAGACAACACACCTTTACCAGAGCATCGTCTGCAAGCGGGGGGCGCCCAGGGGGGACGAGTCACCAGCCCCCGTGCTCCAAGCCAGGAGGCGTCCCCTGAAATGCCGGCAGTGGGGACAGGAGCCTCCGAAACACCCGGCCATCTGCCGAGACCCAGGAGGCGTTCCCTGAAATGCCGGCCGTGGGGACAGGAGCCTCCGAAACACCCGGCCGTCTGCCGAGACCCACCAGGCCCCTCCTGGGCTCAAGAGCAGACGACCGAGCCGCCCCCACCAACCCCGCCCTGGGAGCCCTCCTGGGCGGGGGGCATATGGACCAGCATCCAGAGATGAGGGCCCTCCCAGAATAAGTCGGGGGGCGACAGTGGCAAGGGCTTCAGGAACCACACCAGTCTGGGCACGGAGAACCCTTTCAGAAGCAATTAAAGATTTGCTTTTTCACCAAGAAACATTTTCCAGTGAAGCAACTTATGCGAGCACACACAAGCACCTAGAAACACTGGTGTGTGAAAGTGAATGTCTGAATGGTAGAATAAAAACACGGGAGACAGGGCCTACTCTCACGCCTGATGTGAAACCGGGGTTCATTCACTCTGCAGGGCGACCTCAGGGCTACACAGACCCACGCAGGCCGGCTCCCAACACGGCCCCCCACCCCAGCCTCGAGAGGAAAGGGGGCACTCAGAGGGCAGGCAGGCCCCGGGCCCCAGGGTTGCTGAGTCCCAGGCCTCTGAGGCATCAGCTGGGGCCCTAGGACACAATCTCTGCAGCTCCGTCAGTCCCCCACTGGGATGTCACTGCTGGGGGTGGGGGGGCCTTTCCTGCCTAAAAGCGGTGCAGGAAGAGGAGCGGCCAGAGTCACCCCAAAGCTGGAGCCCAGTGGCCGCCCACAGCAAAGGGCCGCTGGGGTTTGGGCATTACTCTGCCAGCACACCCTCCTCCCGGAGCCCAGGGACTGCAGAGAGTGAGTGTGAGTGAGGGGGTCACCCAGTCGTGCCCCACTCTCTGTGACCCCATGGACTGTGGCCCGCCAGGCTCCTCCCTCCGTGGGATTCTCCAGGCAAGAACACTGGAGTGGGTTGCCATTTCCTTCTCCAGGGCATCTTCCTGACCCAGAGATCCAACCCGGTCTCCCACGTTGGAGGTAGATTCTTTACTATCTGGGTCACCAGGGAAGCTAGAACAAGCTCCCGAGATGCCAGCATGCGACAGAGCCGGCCGCGCATGAAAGGCGGGGAGACGGGGCCGCCCACACACGAGGCCCGCCAGCACACCTACCGGGCTATGAGGTAATTGAGGGACAACCTCAAAATCGCGAGGAACAGGAACATGGGGATGGCCCAGCCGTGCCACACGGCGTTCATGTACACCTGCGGGTGCGGGAGAGACAAATGGGGGGCAGGCAGGTGACCAGCCAGGCTCCCTCCCCAACCCACCGGGAAGCTGGCCACCAGTTCAGCCCGAGACCCCTCCCCAAGAATACTGCCGTGGGGGCGTTTCCGGATACCAGGAGCCCCACGGGCCAGCCCCAGGCTGCCCCCAGTGACACCTCTCTCGTCCTGACAACCCCACAGAGCTGCCCGGCACAGCAGGGGGGTCCCCCGGGAAAACTTGGGGTGGGGTGCACGCCCCCCAACCCCACGGAGAGCACAGCCCCCACCCGTCAGGGAGCACATCACCCCACCCTGTGGAGAGCACAGCCCCCACCCGTCAGGGAGCACACCCCCCCACCTGTCAGGGAGCACAGTCCCCACCACACTGGGAGCACAGCCCCCCACCCTGCGGGGAGCACAGCCCCCACCCCACTGGGAGCACAGTCCCCTCCCGTCAGGGAGCACACCCTCCCCACCCTGCGGGGAGCACAGCCCCCACCCCACTGGGAGCACAGCCCCCTCCCGTCAGGGAGCACACCCTCCCCACCCTGCGGGGAGCACAGCCCCCACCACACTGGGAGCACAGCCCCCCACCCTGCGGGGAGCACAGCCCCCTCCCGTCAGGGAGCACACTCTCCCCACCCTGCGGGTAGCACAGCCCCCACCCCACTGGGAGCACAACCCCCTCCCATCAGGGAGCACACCCCCCCACCCTGCGGGGAGCACAGCCCCCACCCTATGGGAAGCACACCCCCCCACTCTGTGGGGAGCACTCACGGTGAAGGCGATGGCGGACGTGTAGACGGAGTACCAGTCAGATAAGGCGGAGAGGTTCTTCACAAAGCTGGTGACGGGCTTGGCACCGCGCTCTGGGGACCAATCGGGCCACACGGTCAGGCCGGTGCTCGCCCAGCCCTCGGACACACCTGGCAGTCTGGCTGCTGCCTGGGGGTGGGGGTGGGGGTGGGGGTGGGGACCAAAAGGAGCCGGGCGACCACAGCCATCACGGCCCCGGTGGCCTGACCCTGGGCCACTCCATGTTGTCCCTGTCCTCTGCCCCGGCCATGTGTGGACAGGGTTTTGCTCCCACACCGCGGGCCCTGACAAGCATCTTGGGGAAGCACCACGTTTCGCTGGGGGAGCCCAGGCCTGGAGGGAAACCCTGCTTCCAGCCCTGGGTCAGGGGCAGACAGACAGACGGCGTGGCCCTGGGACATACCTCCCACGGCCTGCAGAAGAGGGCAGGGCAGCCTTGAAAACCGTCCTTGTGGCAGGAAGCCCTGCCCAGTGCTGGGGCGGCCCCCCACCCCAGGCAGCCCAGCCCGACAGCACACACAGCAGATGAACAAGTACTTACTAAGTCCACGCTGGGTACTTACTGAGCCTCCTCATGTTCTCCGTCAACCTGAGGGAGGGAGGGGAGGGCTGAGCGCCAGCACCCAGGCCTGGCTCGCGGCACTCCGCGGCACTGGGCGAGACCTGCAGGCCAGGCACCCGGGGGGCGCTCGCTGGGGGGCGGGCCCCGTCTCCCGCCCCCGTGCCCCCACCCTCGCCTGAGCCGGGCCTGGCCTGCGGGCGCTCTCGCGGTCTCCGGGGCCCACCGTCCCCCGCTGCACGAGTGTGGCCATGGCGGGGGACACGGCTGTGCGGCTGCCCCAGCTTTGCCGGCCGCCCCGGGCAGGACCTCCCCTCCGGCACGGCCGGGCCCCGGGGCCCCCGGGCGGACCAGCCGCGCCCCGCCGCCCCGACCCCCGCCAGGGCCCCACCTCCGGGCACTGAGGGGCTCCTCTGTCTCCACGGTGCTCTCCTCGGGCTGGAACCGGAAGTCCTCCACGTACTCCCCGAACTTCTCGTAGAACCACTTCTGGACCCGGGGGCACAGCCCCTGGCTCCGCCGTTCTGCAGGACGGGCGGCAGGTCTCCATGAGGGGCTCGCGGGGAACTGGGGCGGGGGCTCGGGGGGGTGCTCCCGGTGGGCTGCTGGGGGCACGTCCACGGCAGAACCGGGAGGGGCTCCGCGTCCTGAAGACCGCCCGAGCCACTGCAGCTCACGGGGAGCGCCAGCCAGCCACGCGGACGCCGGGGGTGCCTCGCGGGCCTCACGCCGACCCCCAGCTTGCCGGAGCCTGTTCCCAGGGCAGGCGCCGTCGAGGCAGGCGCTCCGCCCAGACGGGGCTGTGCCGACCCCCCCAGCCTGTCCTGGGCACACTGATTTGCCTGGGAAGGGGCCAGGTGGGCGCACGCCCCGGGACACCCCAAGCCTGAGGACCAGCCAGCGGGGGCGGGTGTCAGGGGCGCACTCTGCTGCGGGGGGGGGCCCCGGGGAGGGAAGTGGTCTCTGCCTTCGGAAAGCCACAGCATCAGACAAGAAAACCAGCCCAAACCCGGGGGATGAGTCTGTCCCTTCAGGGGGCGGGGCATACAGTCACCCGCAGGGGGCGCCATCAGCCCACGGTCAGAGGGGGACGCAGGGCGTGCAGGCGGCCACGGGTCGGCTGGAAGGGACCGAGGCCTGGGGCCGACCCGAGGACCGTGCACGGGCCGCCAGACCACGGCCATCAGGGTGGACCTCGGATTAAGGGTGGGCCCAGGTGGGGGCAGGGAGCCGGGGGGACCCCTGGGGTGGGCGTGGAAAGACTCTGCCCCTGCGCACGTGTGCGGGAGGCCCATCAATCGCCACGCACAGGGGGGTCTTTTAGGAAGGGGGTCTCCTGTGCTCCTGGCCTGGAACCTGGGCCTCCGGTCATGAACCGTGAGGACCCAAGGAGAGGATGACCCACTGGACACCCGGGCAGCCAGCCCGGCGGCACGTCCAGCACCGGGGCCCTAGGGAAGGGGCAGCGCCCTCTCTGAAAGGCAGGCGTGGGGGCGCTGCACAGGGAGGGAGTGGGGTCCCGGAGCTCAGCCCCACCCGGAGGTCGCCTGAGAGGCCTCCCCTCTCGGACGGCGGTCTCCGCATCTTTACCCCGCACAGGGCTCAACTAGGGGTCCTTCTGGGGTGGCTCTCTGAGCCTGGGCACAGGCAGGCAGCTTCCCGTCAACAGTCAGCCTGCGAGGGCCAGCGGCCGCCGCGGACCAGGCCCCTCCAGAGCCAGACGGAAGCCCGGTTCCCTCCCCCACCGTCCTCGTAATGACAGCTCCAGAAAGGGCCAAGCGTGGACAGAGACCAGGAACGCGAGCCCCGGGTGGGAAGAAACGGCACTGGAAGGTTCTGTGTCCTGACCCGGGGCAGGGGGCCTGCAGCACACCGCCCACAGCCGCCCCCACCGCCCAGCACCCCCAGTCAGGACGGCCAGACTCCGGGAAGGGGGTCTGGTCAGGGCCACGTGGCCAGAGTGACCACACAACCCCTGGGGAGGGGCGGGCAGAGAGACCACCTTGTGTTTGTGCAAAAATAAAGTCAAGTTCTGATGGAATGACTTGCACCTGCTACAAAGGCCCCCCAGTGGGTAATCGGGGACATCCCGACAGGAGCGGGTACTGAAGGTGAGCGGGTGCCCCCGGGCACAGAGCCGGCTCCCCTGGCCGCCCCCAGGCCTACCTGCTCCATTATTGACCTGGGCCTGTCCTTTCGGGGGCTGCTGAGCTGGCGCCTCCTCGGCTCTTGGAGGGAGGGAGGAAAAGCAAGATCTCTGTTAGTTCACGACACGGCCTGAGTCTGGACTCGGCAAAGCCATGCCCAACATGCTGGTGCCCAGTCCCACCCGCTCAGCTCCCTCTGAGGTCCTGACCACCCCACTCAGATGCAGGCCGAGGGCAGCGGGGCGAGAACAGAGCTGCATCCCTGACAGGCACACAGTCTGCAAATGCAGAACTCTTTCTTCCCTATTAATTTTGACTCATCTGTTTATCTTTTATTAAGCTCAGAGTAAGCAACTCTTATACTAAGTACTGGGGCTTCCCTCATAGCTCAGCTGGTAAAGAATATGCTGCAATGCAGGAGACTCTGGTTCGATTCCTGGGTCGGGAAGATCCAGTGGAGAAGGGAAAGGCTCCCCACTCCAGTATTCTTGGGCTTCTCTTATGACTCAGCCCACAATGCGGGTAAAGAACCTGCTTGCAATGAGGGAGACCTGGGTTCTATCCCTTTCTTGGTCAGGAAGATCCCCTAGAGAAGGGAACAGCTACCTACTCCAGGATTCTGGCCTGGAGAATTCCATGGACTGTACAGTCCATGGGGTTGCAAAGAGTTGGACACAATAGGGACTTTCACTTTCATACTGATTCCTGGGCCCAGTGAAAAGGTACTTATCAACACAAGCACCATGCGAGGCCACAGGTTGGGTGCCCCCCGCCCGCCCAGTAGGCTGTGCCCAGGTCCCCGCTTGGTCCGTGCCGGGCTCCCTACCATCACAGTCTATCTTGCTGCACCTGACCATAGCGGTCCCCGGCCTTGGCGCCTCCCCGGGGCCCCCGTCCACCAGCGGGCTCCTGACCACTGACCTGACTTTCAGCTGCAGGCCCTGACGGCCGGGCCCCCACCTGCCCCCCTCGCCCTGTGCTGGGCTTCTGACAACCACTCTGCCGCTATGCTTCCCAGCCCAGCAGAGACCCCAGGCCGTGGGGAAAGTGGCGCCCCAGGCAGACCTCGGTGGGACTGGAGGTACGGGGGGCCCCCAGGACAGACAGTGGGGCCCGGAGACCCTCAGCAGGTACACACCCTCTGCATCCTGCTGTCCACACGACTGATCTGTTTTTAAAATTTATTTTTTGTATTTGGCTGTGCTGGGTCTTAGCTGTGACATGCAAACTCTTAGTTGCAGCATGTGGGATCTCGTTCCCTGACCAGGGATGGAACCTGGGCCCCCTGTGCTGAGAGCACGGAGTCTTAGCTTGGACCCCCGGGGAGGCGTCGTCCCCCCGCACCCCGCACAACGTGATCTTACAACAGCGAAGAACCTTGTGTGTTTGGTCACAAGTTAATCACTAAAAGGATGTTGCCTATAAGCTTTAACTACACATAGTGGCCCATCTCTGGGAACCATGCCTCCCAGGGAATGAGCATTAGGCTAAAATACTTTTGTTTAGGTCACTGGAACCCTCCGGACCAGGCCCACCTGTGAATGACTGCAGGAGGCATAAATTCACACATCCCCTCCGGAAGCTGCGGGGAACCGGGAAGTGTCTGACTTAGGTCCCTCTCTGTTTAGTATACAAGGGGCCTGAATTCTAACTCGGGCAAGGTGGGTCCTTGGGGGCATATGCCCCCGCCTTCTGAGTCTGTTGGCTTTCAGGATAAAGTCATTACTTCTGCCATAACAACCTGTCTCTCAATTACTAGCCTGTCGGGTAGTGAGCAGGACAAGCTCAGACTCGGGAACAACCCCAGTCCAATGTCTCCGGGAACCGACCCGGTCTGCAGCTCCGTAACCACAAGCCATTGTGGCCATGCAGTGCCGGAGCGGGATGCACAGCGGACCAGCTGGATCAGAGGGCAGGGTGCACAGGGGCCGCGGATGCAGCCTCGTCAAGCGACGGACAGGGAGCCAGCAGACAGACGTGGCCCCAGAGAAGGGAGCCGCGGTCAAGGAAGAGGGGCGAGGCCTCCACGCCCACCCCTCCCGGCAGCCAGGCTGCCCAGAGGACCTTCCGTGCCCAGGGCTCCGGACAGATGGGGGTTTACTGGGAACGGAGCAGGGCCGGGGCACGCAGGGGATCCATTCCCGGCCCGGCTTCCTCTGTTTCCGGGCAGGGGTCCAGGCCTTTGCCAGGACGGTCCCTGAACCGGCCAGGGGTCCCAGACACGGGGGCGCACCCAGGAAGCGCTGACGGCAGGTTCCGGGGACGGCTGGGCCCAGGCGTTGAGCTGGGCCCGCGCGGGCGCAGGGACACCCAGCGCCAAGCCACAGGCGGCCACCGGTCTCCTCCGATGATACTGACCCGGCACAGACACTGGGTGGGCAAACTCCCCAGCAAAGTCACCCGCTGAAACCAACAGGCAGGGGCCGAGCTCGCGGGGGCAGACGCATGGGAGCCCACGGCACCCCTCCAGGAGCGGGGGCAGGACACCTGGCCGCCCTGCAATGGGAGGACCCTGCGGGAGGAGGAGCTGGTCCACGGCAGGCTGGCCCTGAGGTCACGGCGGGCGCGGGGCGTCTGCCACAGGCAGTGATGCCAAGAGCGTGGGGTAGGGAGGTGTCCAAGGGGGGAACAGGGGCAGCGGGCCGGGGGGAGCGTGGAAAAGCGCCAAGGCAGGCTGGCAGGGCCCCAGGGTCCTGGGAGCGACAGGCAGCCGAAACTGGGGGACACACGGCAGCCCAGGGCTCTGTGAGCCGCTCTGCAGCCCGGCTCCTCCGGGGCCCCCTGGGCTCCGCTGCGACTCCTCCCCATCCCCCCCAGTGTGGAAAAGGAACACCTGCACCCCTTTCCAAACAAACGCCCCAGGGCACAGGAGGCAGCCACCTTCCCAAGACCACAGCTCGTCACGGGCACAGGCAGGACACAACCCAGAACTTCGGGGCCGGGCCCGCCCGCTCCACCCGCCCCGGGCCCTCGTGATGCCCTGGGTGTGTGGGGGCCGGGAGGGCCTCGGAGGCGTCGGAGGGCGCCCCCCTCACCGAGGACCCCCGCCCGGGGCACCGGTACACACAGCCCCCGAGTAGGGAGGGCGATGCGCCGTGAGTGCCCTGTGAGAACAGAGGCTGGGGGCGAGGGGCCCGCAGGCCTCCTGGGTGGGCTGAGACAGCAGCTGGAGGTGGGCAGAAGGGGAGAACAGAGGCCACAGCGCACTGCGGCCGGCCACCAGCATCTGCGCGGGGTCTCGGCTCGGGGACCCTGCCCACCAAGGGGCAACGCCACCTGGCTCCGCCCGGCCCCCCAGCACAGACAGCTGGCCCTCCCCGCCTCCCGCCCTGGGGGTGGTCCTCACTGACCCTCCCCGCCTCCCGCCCTGGTCCTCGTGGGCCCTCCCTGCCCTCACCTGGCCTTCAGCACTTCCTGGACCTTCTGCTCCAGCTCCATCCTCCGCTGCCGCTCACGGTCCAGCTCCTGCCGCAGCATCTCTGCATTCGTTTCCTCTCGCAGCTTCCGGAGCTCCTCCTCTGTGAGGGAGAGGAGCCAGGTGAGCGTCACGTGGCCTGTCCCACCGCCACGCAGAGGTACCCCGGGAGTGCTGAGACACGGGCAGCGGCAGCCGCCCTGCTCCATCCCGGGGGCACCCCACACCCGCAGGAGTGTATCAACCGGGGCTCCTCCCACACCGTCCAGGCAAGGCCTCAGTCAGCGCAAGCTGAGGGCCTCTTTACTTTACTTAACCCATTCAAGACAGATGCACAGAAAGGCCCTTCACCAAACCCTCTCCAGGGCAGGACCCCCGAGAAAGGGATGCTGGCGGCACCTGGTCACCCCACAGACACACGTGCAGTGTGAGCAGCTCTGGGAGGCCTTGGCCACTGAGCAAAGCCCCTACGAGAGGCAGGGAGCCTGCCGCTGGCTGCTGACCACCTGAGAACCGACAGTGGGCAAATGAGAAACACGGCAAGAGCACGAGCCGGCGCTCATAAAAACCCGCACCAAGATGATGCACCTGAGTCAGGACCTGGACGGGTGCACAAAAGGTCAGGGATCCTGCGGGGAGCGTCGGGTGGGTGGGGGGCAGCCTGGGGGAGGCTGGGGCGGCGGGGCCTCGGGGTGAGCGAGCACATCCTGATTACGGGGTGGGACCAACGTCGTCACGATGGAGCAAGCTCGGGAGGAGCCAGGGGGTCAGGGGTCAGAGGGAGGAGGGGGGCCCACGGGCCTGGGAGCAGGGGCAGCGTGAGCAGCTGAGGACGCGAGGACACAGGGTCCCCCTGGACCCCCACAGGAGCACTGCCTGGGACACAGGGACCCCCAGGCCTCCAGAAGAGGGGCCAGGAGGACTCCACGCCCACTGCACAGGGAGCTGGCCACGTGTCGCACGCCCGGAGGCTCTGTCAAAGTGGGGACGCTGCCGTGACGCAGCACCCACACCCTTCCAGGGGTGGGCATCGCTGGTGCCCCTGGGCATGTGCAAACTGGCTCCATTTCAGTTCAGTTGCTCAGCTGTGTCTGACTCTTTGCGACCCCATGGACTGCAGCACGCCAGGCCTCCCTGTCCATCACCAACTCCCGGAGCTTGCTCAAATTCATGTCCATCGAGTCAGTGATGCCACCCAACCGTCTCATCCTCTGTTGTCCCCTTCTCCTGCCTTCAATCTTTCCCAGCATCAAGGTCTTTCCCAATGAGTCAGCTCAATTCATCAGATGCCCAGAGTATTGGAGTTTCAGCTTCAGTGAGCATCAGTCTTTCCAATGAACACTGAGGGTTGACCTCCTTTGGGATTGACTAGTTTGACATCCTTGCAGGCCAAGGGACTCTCAAGAGTCTTCTCCAGCACCTCAATTTGAAAGCATCAATTTTTCGGTTCTCAGCCTTCTTTATAGTCCAACTCTCACATCCATACGTGACTACTAGAAAAATCATAGTTTTGACTAGACAGACCTTTGTCAGCAAAGTAATGTCTCTGCTTTTTAATAACTGCTTAGGTTTGTCAGTTTTTCTCCCAGGGAGGAAGTGTCTTTTAATTTCATGGCCACAGTCACCATCTGCAGTGATTTTGGAATAAAAATAAAGTCTGTCACTGTTTCCATTGTTTCCCCATCTATTTGCAATGAAGTGATGAGACCAGATGCCATGATCTTAGTTTTCTGAAAGTTGACTTTTAATCCACCTTTTTCACTTTCCTCTTTCACCTTCATCAAGCGGCTCTTTAGTTCCTCTTTGCTTTCTGCCATAAGGGTGGTGTCATTTGCTTATCTGAGGTTATTCATATTTCTCCCGGCACTCTTGATTCCAACTTCTGCTTCATCCAGCCCGGCATTTCGCATGATGTACTCTGCATATAAGTTAAATAAACAGGGTGACAATATACAGCTTTGACATACTTCTTTCCCAATTTGGAACCAGTCTGCTGTTCCATGTCCAGTTCTAACTGTTGCTTCTTGACCTGCATACAGATTTCTCAGGAGGCAGGTAAGGTGGTCTGGTATTTCCATCTCCAAGAATTCTCCACAGTTTGCTGTGATCCACAGAGTCAAAGGCTTCAGTGTAGTCAGTGAAGCAAAAGTAGATGCTTTTCTGGAATTCTCTTGCTTTTTCTATGATCCAATGAATATTGGCAATTTGATCTCTGGTTCCTCTGCCTTTTCTAAATCCAGCTTGAACCCCAGGGCCCCCAGAAAGAACTCCCTGTGGGACCCTGGACCCACAGGAGGCAGGCGTCCTGTCCCAACACAGGCAGGCCTCTTCTCGGAGGACTGGTCCCCACTGGCGGCGTGAGAACCGCAGCTCTAGCGCCACGTGGAGACAGTCTGCCCTCCTGAGCGCCTACGAGCTCCACTCAGCGTTCCACGGGACCCACCTCTGAGGCACCCCCTCCCCACCTCTCAAGGGCAGGCCAGGGAGCTGCACGGGGGGATATCAGGGGTGGACGCTCCACACCGTCGCACCCTTGCTCCTGGGGCCACGGGCGGGTGTTGTGTGCTTTCCCATCTGCTCCTCTGGCCCCCAGTTGCCTCCACGGGCCTCGGGAGTCAAGCTCCAGATACCTCCTCTGCCCATGGCGCCTTCAGCAGGAAGCCCGTTTTCCTCAACACGCCTGAACTCCCTCGCTGCCCCTCAGCCGAGAGAGGTCAAGAGCAGGGCGCAGCGCGCGGGGCTGCCAGCCAGGCCGCCCGGGCCGACGGAGCACGTCTGGTCACTCGGCCCCCGCCCCGAGCCCCGGGGGTGCTCTGCGTGTGACTGCACGTGTGCACGCTCGCTCACGTCCCCAGTCCTGAGGCCGGGGGCCTCAGGCAGTGACCTGTCACCCTGGGCTCCTGACAGAGCCCCCTCGGCCCTCTCTGCCTTCCCACAGCACCGCCCCCTCAAGTTGCCCCCCGCTCCCGGTGGGGGGTGCCCTGGCTCCACCCCCCTCCCCGGAGCCCTCGCGGTCCTGCCCGCCTCTCCCCTCAAAGCCTCCGTCCCCCACCCAGGCCAGTGCGGAGACAGCGGCCCTGCAGACAGGGACCTTTGGACACACCCCCGTTGACAGCAAAGCCAGAAGCCTTCCCACCTTTCCAGGAGCCTCCTCTCCTGGGGCATGAGGACAGCTCAACCGAATGAACCCCATCGGCGTCCTGATCACTCCTCTCCCTCAAGTCCTTCCTCCGAGTACAGGCCTCCCGCAAGGCCGCGCGACTTCCAAGCCTAGGATGATGATTAAACCCCACGACGGCGGACGCTGGGGGCCTGCTGCCTCCCACAACACATTGAGATCAACTGCAGCGCAGAACCCAGCCGGCTCCTTACACGGCACAAAGGCGACACAAATCCCCGCGAATCCCCTCCCCCTGCTCTCAGCCGGAGAGAAACGGGTGGCTGCTCCTCACCAGGCAGCGAGGGCTGGGCTGGTCGCTCAGGAGGCGGTCTCCCCTCGCCCGGCCTCCCACCAGGCCCGCGACCTCAGGCGCTGCTGGCCTCTGCCCCGGGTCTCTCCGTGGGCTCCCAGGACACCCTCCAACCCCAGGCCCAGCTCGCGGCCTGTTCCAAGGCGGCCTGACCCTCTGGCCACAGGCCCCGGACACGCCTGGCTGGAGCAATGGGCTCCCCACGTGCTCCGGCTCCATCGGTCAGGGGGCCGCGAGGGTCTCCATGCACAGGGCCAGTGGGAGGAGCCCCTCAAAGAGCCCCCCAGGCTGACTTCCTCCTGCTGCTGAAAGGAGTCACCGCCGACCATTGTGGCAGGCTGTGTCCTTACAGCTCTGCGCTCGGAGTCTGAAACGGCGCTCAAGGGACTCGAGGTGAGGCAGGGGCAGGGCTGGCCTCTCTGGAGGCTCCGGGGGAGAACCCACGTCCCGGCTTCCTCTGGCTTCCAGAGGCGCTCACATTCTTTGGCAGGTGACCCCCCGCCATCGGGGCCACCACCCCGACCTCTGACTCCATTCTCACGTCTCCTCCTCTTTCTCTGACCCCCCGCCTCCCTCTCCTGAGGACCCTCGTGATGCCCCTGGGTCCACATGTTTACTCCAGGCCCATCTCCCCAGCACAGACCCTTCACTCAATCACCTCTGCAACGTCCCTTCTGCCACAAAAGGTGACACAGTCACAGGGTCTGGTGATGAGGATGCGGGCGCTGGGATTCTGCCCACCAGATGCCACACAGACACAACTCTCTTCAGCCAAGGAGGCCGAGCAGGGCCTGGGAGGAAAGGACGATCCCCCTCTTTCCACTTGGCCCGGAGAGGGTCTTCCTACTCCCAGGATCCGGCAATCTTTGAAGGTTCAGGGCTTCTGAGTCATGTCCCGGGCGGGATCCTGGCTCCCCTGGCCTCCAGCAGACGTCCTTCCCGTCCCCCGGCCGGACCTGGCCACCTGCCAGGTCAGCAGACGGCACCAGGCCTTGCAGAGGCGAGCAGAGGCCAAAACGCAAAGAAGAGCCCTCCTCTCGCAGGTCATGGCCTCTGGGGGTGCGGGGGCCCTGCCAGCCCCCTCCTCCCACCTCCACACACCTCCCGTGTGTGTGTCCCCGTCACCCAGAAACAGGGTTTGCCAAACACCCCACTGATGGTGCTTCCACGGACTTGGCCAAACTCTCCCAGTGAGAAGCACCCACGCAGAGGGCATCCCAGAGCCAGCCTGCCAGGAGCCCGGGGCTGGTGTAAGCGTGTCCTGCCGGAGGCCCAGCCACGGGCGGCTCTCGTGAGCCTCTCGGCACCTCTGCACCCAGGTAGGTGGGCCAGGACAGGGACCTTCACACCCGCCGGTGACTCAGTCACAGGCGGGGGGCGTCCCCTGGAGTAGGAGCCACACCAGGCAGGTGGGAAGGCCGCCGCACCAGCCGTCACGGGGCGTGCCCGGGTCATGGGGCACAGCTCCCAGCCTGACACTGCTCGCCTCTCCAAGGCATTGTGCCGTCTGCCGACCTGGCGGGTGGCTGTGGCCGGCCGGGGGACGGGAAGGACGTCTGCTGGAGGCCAGGGAAGCCAGGATCCTGCCCGGACACGACTCAGAAGCCCCAAACCTTCTGAGATCACAGGCCAT